TACTGATGAAGATGTATTCGGGTGAACACATGTGCTTAGTATGGATGAGTCTCATGACCCCCCTATCACACCAAACTAGTTCTTACCCGTTCTTGCCAATCCTACGAAAACGTCGTAAAACGGGCTCAATCTGACTGTGGTCGGGAAATAGTCTAAAATAATTAGCTACTTCGTTCATAAACAGTCTTCAATACGTCCATATCATTCGCAGTTCGTTAAGGTCGCACCACGTCGGACCGCGTCCCTTAGTCTAGAAGGTCATCATGACCTGATTACAGAATGGTATGGTCGCCATCGAATTTTGAATCATTTCAAAATTCTCAAATCACCTTCCCGTCTGAGAACGTTCATGAAGTTCGTAAATAGTTCTTACAAAGTTGCAGCTACGTTCATTCCGTTCGCACACAGTTTAAAACCAGTTTTGGAGAACGCAGTGGCAACTTGTTTGGTGTGATAGCTATATTTTAGCTAACTCGTTCATAAGCAGTCTTTAATACGTTCTTAATCAGTTTAAACCCGTTTGCAATTAGTTCTACCTCGTTCTGAATACGTCCTCAGACAGTTCAACTCGTTGTAAAAACGTTCTAGTGGACCTACCCGTTCAAGTACGTTCGATGAAGTTTGTAAATAGACCCCAAACAGTTCTAAGTACGTCCAGTCCGTTCGTACACAGTTGAAGCACGTTTTCGTAGTGAGAACTAGTTTGGTGTGATAGTAGGGTTACGTGAATATCTCGTTTTATATATGATACACTAATGCAGTAACCACTGGTCAGTATCAAGCGAAGGTAACAGCCGTAACCTTCGTATCTAAGATGGCGAACAGTAATTGTCGATTTCGATATTTTTAGTTTTCATTGAATTGAACTGGAAATTAGATTAGCAGGTGTAAGACAAGTTTCTTCAAGTATGTTGAATGTTAATCCTTACAATGATTAATCCAAGATTTGTACTTTTCACTTGAACTATTTATTTTGATTGTAACGTGGGCTATGCTCTTTTAGAAAGAACTTATAGAAAGGTTAAATGTTTCTGATGTTGAATTCTGATTTCCTGCTTCTATTTCATTACATCCTGTTACAGTTTAAACCATTAAAAAGATCTGATAATGAAAAGGGAAAATTAATTTGAAGCATGCCGTGGTGACGTATGATCCGTGGGAATCAACCGAGAAGGTTAGTCATCGGTATTTATGATATGCATCGACATTGCTATCTACCAAGTAACTATTTCGTAATAGTCTAGGAGTTATAAAAAATTGCAAAATTGGTGTAAAGGTCTTAGTCATATTGGTATGACATGTCTCTAGTCGTTCAGAGTGACCTAAATATAGCAATTTATGAGAGCTAAAAAGGTTCACCATGGTTGATATTTCCATATCCAACATAAATTGCAATCGAGCCTAGTTGAATGTTATTAAGGGAGCATCACAAAATTTAACCTGTATCCTCCCCTCCCCCTCCTCTCTTCCCCTGGCCTTTTGGGTAAAGGTAGTTTTGTAAAATATTGCGTAAAATTTGCGTAAAACTTGCGTAAAATATCGAACGCGGTACTCCAAAGGGCGAAATCAACGCCTGATGAAACAATATAGTGTCGTCTTTATTTGTCTTCGATCCCCTTCCAATCGGCGAAAACTCACAAAGCTTTTAGGTATAATCTACCTATGCTTAATTGACTCTAAATCATACCCACCGTCTCCATTACAACTATTATTTGACGTGATAAATCCCGCTTGTTGCCAATTACGCCCCGTTTGCTGACGATAGGAAGCGAGACATGCACATTGAAAGGATCGCCATTGCGCATGGTGTATTGATCTTTCTAACTCTAACTAATTAGGCCGGACAATTTCATTACAATCCTGACTTTGAACTTGAAATGTGAGACTGAAAGTAGGGGTTCACATATCAGAGAAAATGAAGAGGCTGTTTCATCAAACTACAAGGTTATTATATCGCATCCTTGGAATTTCTCATTTGATTGAATTTTGTCGGTTTTAATTCGATTACTTGAATCAATTGATTGATTATGATCGTGTCCTGATCAGTGTAAGACTGCATTTGACATAATAAAGAACCAGAGAGGGCAAGACGTTGCAAACTTGCAATTGACATTTACATGTTAAATGATGTATGTTGACGGATGTTTAAGACAGCTTTGTTTTGCAAATTCTCGCTCTCCTACTTTTTGCAAAGGAACCATTTTTACATTTACTTTAAACTGATTAAATGTACTTTTACTGTATTGCCAAGCAGCTTGACAAATCGGTAGATAAAGACCCTTGAGGAAACCACAATCAATGTACACGAACGATTACCTAGTCTATCTAAAACGTACGCGTATTTGTAATTGGAAATGTTACTATCAATCGAAATCATTAAAAACGGTACATCATCGTCTCTAGGGGTCTAACTACACATAGACTATTTGTCAAATGATCCGTTATTGTCTTTCCTTTGAGTGGGTGGGGTATGCGATAAACTGTTTTGAAATAATGGGGCGTAAGTTTGATCAACTATACACAATCGTGCGTGACACCAACACTTGCGATACATACCATCCCCCGGCAGACACCATCCCCGGCACTTTGATTTCTTAATTCACTATCGATCACTGATCGTGATTTCATGGACTATTTAAGCAGTAGGGTTTAACATGACATGAACTTGTTGAAGAAATTAAGAAACCATAGCAGTCAGCTAGACTGACAAAAAAGAGTGAAAATTAACCACCAAAAAGTTCAGACAGGATCAGTGTTTTTTCTGTCTTCGCCCCACTCGAATAATTGCAATGTTAAATAGATATGAACAATATTTTATCTCGAAATACCCAAAAAGATAATAGGGCATATAAAATTAGCACAATTTGCTTTCTGTAGGGTGTCTTTCAGCACACCTCCCCTCGGAGAGGTTGATAAAACGCTTCTTAATATATATATATATTAAACATACACTAAAATCTTTTAAATGAAATAAATAATTTTTATATACAAATACCTTTTTCTGAATCATTACATCAATCGGGACCTTCATTTGTTAACACACATGCTCGGTTTTGATATATAAGCGATAATAGTTTCATAAAGCTGGAGTGAAATGAGGTGAAAATATTTTTTTTGGCTACGACGATTTGATCGACGCAGCTCACGTACCCGTGCGTCATATTCGCTTCATTGGATTAACATCAAAACAAAACTGATAAACAAAGTTTGAGAATAAATGGGACACATTTGAGACTCAAAATTTACGATTTTATTGCCTACAAATCGTTGGTTTCTTTTGGTTTTAAAAATAGGTTCAGTCCTGGCGATTTCTTTAATCCTTTACAGTTTGGCATACAGCTTAGAAATCTCGCTGAAGTCTCGTTTAGTGAGACTTTTAGAGTATTTATAAATCCATTCATTTATTTGACTTGAATTCAAATACTTATTTCATTGTGTTTAATTTTCGATGGGTTTAAGGTTCTCAAAAGTCATGTTAAATACTCATTCACACAATTTTCAAAATGTTTAAATTTCATATTTTACCCTGCGCGCAGAGTCAGAGTCTAACTACCTGAAGACGAAACTCTCTTTTAAGAAGTGAAGTCGAACGAATGCAGGGTCATATTCTTTTAAGATTACACCACAATCCGCAAGTTATACATAGCAACTCCTTTATTTGACATGTTATTTTGATGATATACTCTCGACCACAGCACAAACATGTAGATTAAAACGGCAGAAGGAAGAAACAGAGTATTTATGATGAGATTGAGCCCTGCGTTCGGAGAATGATTCGAGATAAACCGATTGCATTTAATAGTGACTCAAATCTGACACTCGAAAAATAAAATGATTTTTGTAGAATCACTTATTTAGTTAGAAAACCAATTACATTAGTCAAATAGATTCTCGTCAATGTGTAGTTGATATACAATTATACAATATAAAAATAACCCAGTATTGTAGTTAAATTCATTATATAGCGTCTACCGAGACTTTATACTCGAATAATCGTTGTACTATCGTCATCATCAATTTATTTTTTGTTTTGCTAAAAGCACAGCCATTTTCAGTGACACTAATCATTGTCAGGGTGTAGACTTAAGTAAATCCTAATCATTATTATAATCTAACTAGAGTCGATGAAGGAATGATAATACCAATGAAATCATACAACTGTAATTAATTAGTGACGCGATTAATTTGTCATCGGTCTATGAAAGTTATATTTGCTTTGATCAACGTACCTACACAATGACGGAGATCTTAAAGCAACTATTACAATACTTATAGAATGATGAATAGCTTCTTACAGTCGACAAATAATATAATGATAAATGAAGAATCTGTGTAATGACGAAAGGAAACAAGGCTTATTAGTCCAATATGTCTTTTTGATGATGTGCAAGAGACTGGCTTTGATTAGATGCGGCTAGAACTTCGATTCGACTCATATCTCCTTAGCCCCTCCCCCCCCCCCCCCTCCCCTATTTCTATCAGTCTAATAGCCAGTATGAATGTCGAAAGTAATGGTCGGATGTTTTGTTTTAATCATGGGTAGACCGGTGTACACACACAAATCCCTCTCCGTTGACTTGCTGCTTGAGCTTGACACACATTCTTCATTGTACCACGAGCAAGTCTGTTTATTGTTAGGAGATAAAAAAATCATCAAATTTTCGACCAAATATAAAGGAGGAAAATATTTAGATCTATATATAGTTCAGAACAAGTTTACAAACGTTTCAAGGGGAGTCTACATATGTTTTGTGCATTTGAATTCAGTTAAGTGGAAACAAGGTGTCGAACTACATTAATTTACAAAATTTCCGGTTTCACTATTTATTAACTTCCAGAGTTATCATTTAAACCTTGGGTCCCTATGGGGGAATTAAACGATCGTTTCATAGATCACTGAACTTTATTCCAAATTCTGTTTTCTCTTTAATTATTCTACAGAATTAATACAATCAACTATAGGCTGTTTTATGATAGCTGGAATATAACATAAAACTTACCGGTATTTGATTGTGTTTTCCTTGTATGAATCCGATCCTTGTTATTGAGACCATATGGTTTTACTTCACATAGTCTTTTGCTGGCCTTAATAGTCGTTTCTGAAGCTTCTATCTGTGTTTTACTATTACAATTGTCAGGGCGACTTGCTGTGTTTCTCCTCGTGGGGGATTTATCGGAAGCTAGACAAAGATAACGCGCTTAGTCTTACTGCAACACAAGTGTGAAGACGCTCTTCATAAAATGCCCACGGCATATCTTAGTTCGATTCTACAAATGCGCCTTTCTCTAAGAATAATTGGTGTTTTTAACTTGAATTAGAAAGCTTAGCTTTAGGTATGTTACTACCGCCAGATAATTACAATAAAACGTCTATCCATCAATTGCAATAATGCAATCTGTCCAGACCTCAATAGAGAATAGGGATCTGGTTTCTGTAGACTTTAATTTAGCGATGCTCTTTTTGTGTAATACGGTTTATAGGTCTTTGTGGGTCACAATTTGCGCTAATTGTGCATGTTACTTACCAGAGTAATTTTCTCTCTTTCACCTTGATAGGTTTGAACTCCTCAACTTTATATATATAGTCTTCAATTAGATGTTTTTCGTCCACAATTATGTTACGTTCATTGCCTTCAGATACATCGTCCTGGTTTGTTTAACAAATATAGGCCATTAAGAAATGAAGTCAGTCACGCAATTTCCGTCATGCAATAACTGTATTCGTTTGTTGATAATGCATCAGTACTGTAATAGGTAAATATTATGTATTAATAGAGAGTTTAAGCTTGCATAAACGCCAACCTATATGTATGACCAATCGCCCATACAAATGCATCGCTTTAAAAACATCCCAAGCTTAAACTCCCTAATATTGGTGTATCGTAACACGAACTGTAACATCCAATTTAAAATAAGTGTCCTGTCTATTATAGTCTTTTTAAGATATACAAATTGGATACATCGTGATGTATTGTAAATTGTAAATGTAAAAGTAAAAATGATAATAAATATTATGATAAAAAATAAAAATAAGAAATAAAATAAAATAAATTGGATACGATGGAATGGATTCTAAATGTGAGCCATGTAATAGTGAAGTGGAACTTTTGTTTTTGTTTTGAATGCTATTAACATTGAATAACGTGTACCTTCTACTCAGATCTATGAAGACAAAAATCTGCGAAGCTCTCTTAAAAATCTTCATCCTAGGTCGAACGAAGTAAAGGGTACCATGACTCGTAATATGTTCCTCATCTATCGCTTATAAATGCAGATTCAAAAGATGCACTGTTCCGATTATGTAGAATGTGAACCAACTGTAATCAAATTGCCAGAGTTGATAAGACAAGGATAAACAGCGGTAAACAAGAACTGAAATCCTGTACCTGTTAATAGCTGATGTTATTGATGCAAGAACGTTGAATTAATTGAGAATGATGCTAAATTGCAGAATTATGCAGACTTGCAGAATGTTGCAGAACAACACGACATCTTGTTGCCAACTTGAACGCGCACTCGATCACTTAGAATAAAATTACTTCCTCACTCGAAATTGAATAATTAATTGAATTGTCATGAATAGTCAATGCAATAAGATACAATGAAAAATGAAATGCTTGACAAAATGATCGTCTGCGCAGTACCATTACAAGTGGGCTGGTGCTTTGGATCTTGCGCAATTGCTTCCTCAAATACCTAGTTTTCTGCCTGTTATGTCATTTTTAATTACCAAACGTTATTGATGTTATACTTCGTGTATCACAACAGTTTGCTTAATCAGCGGTTTTGATCATATTCCAGAATATCCTATTTGTTCTACACTTGGATAGTCGAAGATGTGAGTAAATGCACACACAAAATTGCATTTCTTAGACCTAACTAGGTCTTCAAAGCTGAAAATCAGAGAATGATCCTAAAATTTGGAGTCTTATGACGAACAATCTGAATTTTCCTCCTTTAAAATCTAGGTGTATTATCAAAACACATTCTTTAAAAAATAATGACTTTTGAAAATCTGAGTATTGACTAAAATCAAGAGCAGTAGTAAAATCAAGAGCTGACAGGTATAAGGGAATGCACATGTAGACAGGAATTTACCAAGAAGCTTTTGACATTGCTACACCCTTTCACCGAACAGGTAAATATTGACAATAACAGCACCAGGAGCTAAGTTGACCCCGAGCTATCTCCATTGATTTGCCAAGTCATGAGATAATTAAACTAAAGTGAACTAGTTACTAACTTCTAACCTTCCTAAGTATCTTAGCATCCTGTCGTTGTTATTACATTGTCCAGATCTCATTATTTTCCCTTTGATTAGAAGCGACTGGAGAACACTGTCACGATGAATAATGCAAAATAGTGTGTACTCGACATATTCTTCAGAAGTACCCGATCGCAATTTCAAAATCTTCATGGACAATCAGACGTCGGTTTGGCCTGAATGGAGCACTACATTGAAGAGCTGATCATGAGTTTCACTTTTTGGGACAATCGGGGGCAGTTGATCAAGTCCCATTTGGATTACTTATCAAAGCCATATTACGATTAACGATTAAAAGAAAATCATCGAGTTTGTCGTAAATTTTCGAACTTTTGTAATTAAGAAACAAAAGTGTGGTTCAAACGTTAGGCTGACTTCCATATGCTATCCGATGAAAACTTCCATTTGCCAAACTTATGGAGGGGGTGTATCTTAAAACGCATGCAAGGCGACATTTTAAACATGATAATGTCTATTACTGGGCCTCAATAGGTACCTAATGCGGATTTCATTTCCATAGTTTTACTAACAATAACAAAGATACACTACTAGCGTAACCAATTAAATGATTACATTTTCCTTCTAGGATAATAAGTATAGAATCTTGTATATAGACCTTGATCAGATACAAGTACGTCCAAAGTTATGAAGTAAAGATGCATCTGTTTTGAACAGTGATAGACGTCACCATCTTCCGCACCCTCCAAGCCATGCCAAAAGGGGAAGATGAGAAAAGAAATGAAACTGTAAATTTTATGAGCAAAGATATTTGATACATGCTGCGCTTCCGAATGCGCCAAAATTCATTTAACTAAGAGACTGCCATTGAAATGTCAACAAAATGTCAACCAAATGCCAACAAAGTCATCAATGTGTTTCATTACATTTTCTTAGAAACTTGAGACTAGTTCTTCGAATTATGCGAAAACTAGAGAACGTCTATAAAGATACGCTCGTACTTGGGAATCATAAAGGTCGATAGGAGATATGGTTCAGCAAACAAAACGATATGGCATTAGTGACATAGAGATCAAACTTGATTTGCGCCTCCAAACTCCAAATGCTTCAACATTTCTCATTTACCCTTCGTTTAGACCTGAAAAATAAAAGAGTATGGACGAATTGGAGAACAAACGTGATGAGTTGGTCAAGGCTAACGTGTTGATCAAAAAGTCAAACATACACGTAGTAATTGAAACCGAACGTGCGGAAAATAAAAAACCGGATATCATTAACTTGTATAATATTCACTCCGTCATTAAGAATCCAATGTTTTTAACATTTAGGTAATGTCACATTTTCATCACAATGGGAAATACTAATTTGAAAATAATGAGAAGTTTATAACTACAGTGAAATACTCGTAAATATCGAGATCTAGCGTAGCATTATTCGGGAGTAATTATGATAATTGGGAGTTTAAATACATTTGAACAGGAAAATGAAAGTAAATTGAATAGAATTTTATATGATATAAATACACTCACTCCCCTTCCTTCGTTTTTGTGTTACTAAAATATCATAAACAATTTTACAATATTTGAGATAATAACACGTAAATGGCTGACAGTGTGTGATTGCATCATAATTAAATTAAAATTCTTTCATTTCGTTTCTTTGAAAGATTACTTCATTTTTTAGGTTCTGGTCTAAAAGGTATAAACTCACCTGGATTATCACTGGATGGCGAGCGAAGCGATTGTTTCGAAGGCTAGAGGTCGTAGAAGTCGTTAAAATCTAATTGCAAACGGCTTCCACCTGTCCGAGTAAACCAACACGGTATTAGCTCATCTATTCCTACTCGCCCTGGAGATCAGGAAACATTATATTCTAATCTAATTGAAGTTAATAAACTTGAATCAAGCTTTAATTATAAGTGACGTTTTGCGTATACAATTACGTTTGCATTGTCCAAAAACTAGATTACGGACATTCACAAATAGCTAGCTAGGCAAGGTGTGTCCGATTCCAGCCAATCCGAACACAGTATTTCACATAACTATAAACACCTTCAATGGAACGATTCAGAATACGATGCACGGAGTCCAGGGCCTAAATCCTTAAATCTTGATTACTTTTAATGATATAAGTGCTTTCTTGGCTCTCGTGCATTAGAGATTCAAGAGGGGCTCAGAATGCAGTCAAATGAAGTCGAACCCATGCCATCGAGCAAATCTGTTAATTGACCAAAATGCAATTATAAAACAAATCAGTTCTACATTTAAAACAGACAATCAGAGACCGACAAACAACAAAATGCACTAAAAACAATACCTTTCATACCACAAACAGACGATTTGTACTTCAGATCGTGAGTATCTGTAATTTGATTCAGATATTGTCTTAACACGATGTTCTGCTTATTTATTAGTTTGTCTGAGGTTAGAAGGGGCTTGTTACATCAACTGCGTTGGTTTACCTTAATTAGAAAACAATTTGAAACGTAGAAGCAGGATTTCCTTCTCGTAAGTGTTGATTAATATAAACATGCCGTGAAATAAGGAGACGATCATGTAACTATGTGTTGCAAAGTTATTGGAATTAATAAAAGGAGGTCAAGTATAATAGAAATTAAATCTAAAGTATCTGTTTCTAGAAAGGTCTATTTTCCTAGAAAAGTAATAAGTAAAATCCTCTTCATCGATTTCCAAACCCATTTTAATTAGAGAATAATGGACTATTAAATATTTGCGTGGATGTTACGAGGAATTCGATTCCCTACCTTGTATTTGCATTTGATCAGTTAATATGTCGACCTACATTTTGACTCCATACGCTGGAAAGTTCCAATTTTGTTTTATGCATTAGCTAATATGTCGACCTGCATTTTGACTCCATACGCTGGAAAGTTCCAATTTTGTTATATGCATTAGTTAATATGTCGACCTACATTTTGACTCCATACGCTGGAAAGTTCCAATTTTGTTATATGCATTAGTTAATATGTCGACCTACATTTTGACTCCATACGCTGGAAAGTCCGAATTTTGTTATATGCATTAGTTAATATGTCGACCTACATTTTGACTCCATACGCTGGAAAGTTCCAATTTTGTTATATGCATTAGTTAATATGTCGACCTACATTTTGACTCCATACGCTGGAAAGTTCGAATTTTGTTATATGCATTAGTTAAGATGTCGACTTGCATTTGACTCCAGACATAGGAGGGTTCGAGTGTTGTTACATGTTGGCCTACCTAAGGTAATTCTGCATCATGCGATCAAGTGTTGAATGAATTATGTTTTCCTGAGAAAATAACAAGGAGCCCATTAACATTTCTCATTCTCAGTATGTGGAACTACCTTAATACTGTTGTAGACACAAGATACTCGTCTTTTTACTGTATCTAGTCTCGGTAAGTTTAATGCGATTATGTAGAGAAATCAAAGCAAGCATACTATTCATAAAGACAGTGGTGAACCATTCAGAGCAATATAATTCAAGAAAAGGAACTTCAATCTCTCACTATAGTGGACAAAAGAAAACACGGTGACTCTGCTGAGGAAATTACGATGATAAATTATTTTCGTTGTTATTATTTCAGACATGTTCCATTACCTTCGTTATCATTGATTTTGTACCTTTAAAGTGATCGCACCTCTACTTTGCACAGAGGAATGGTTAACACAAACCGTCATGAAATGGAAATATCATATTTAGAAATTCCCCAGGCTAAAAGGCCATCTCATTAATAGCATTGAGATGATTCAAAAAACAGTGAAAAAACTCTTTGAAATTAACAGAATCGGAACAGTAATGGAGCATTGTGAAACCTCAGGGTTCATATCAGCGAAACAAATTTTCTGTCTAATTTTACATAAGTAAGATCAAAAGCCACTTAGGCGTTAGTGCAGCGGCCATTAAATCACAATATCTGATTATACCCACTACCCTGGAACAGTATAATAACCACCAAACTGCTGATTTGTGATGTTAAACGATCATTTTTCTTACTACTCATCTCAAATGTAAACATTCATCACGTTTAGGTAGTCCCATAAGAATGGGCTAATCAACTCTTAATAATTCTGTTAACTTTGGCATTTTCCACTTAAGCTTGCAATTGTATGATAACATCATCCACAAACCCATCCGGAATGTCGTCACACAGTCTTGCGAACATTATCAGAAAATATGGGTTTGTATATATTGGTGGACTCATGTTAGTTAATAGAGCTCCCCTTAATGACGACCTATACTGTCATGTTAAATTTTTAAGTCACGGAGCCAGTTACGGAGCCTCCTGAGACCGTATGATTTTTTTTCAGTTGGATATCTTTTTGGACACTCGATAGTAAAAAATGTTATCGATTTGTCTAAAATTAAAACCAAATAGGACGAATTTACGGGAACTGTTTCACACGAAGCTCGATTTTGTTACTGTTCCAGAAGAGACGCCAGGCGATATTACGTCAAATAACACATACATCATGAATTATACGAAAATCCGCAAAGTCCCGTTTGATCCCTTCGAGCATATTTATGACCCGTTATTGCATACAACTAAGACATCAGCCATATTATTAGCAAAGTTTGCCCATTTGCGGCAGATTCTGAGGATTAGGTTACAATTAACGGGTGAAATACTACGTTACTGCACCAATTCACAGAATAAAGCTCTAATTTTTATGGTATGCATAGATTTTAAAATGCTAAAAATAAAAATGGATGTCAATCCGGACTCCGCTCGGAGTATTGAACTGTAATTCTTCTAGATGATTATAGAGCTATAATTATGATTAATTGTAATCACTTGACTTATGAATATTTTTCAGGGTGTCAAACATTAATCAAAACTACGATACGCATAGAAACGTTTGAATCCTATAAGTTATAATTTAGGTATCCAAATTAAGGTAGTTGTACATCCATATGCCTAAAAGATCATGGCATAATTATGCTTCAAAATATTATTACATAAACTGGAACACATGATTCTTTGGAATAAGTACAATATTTCAATGTTTGTATGTTCTGGTATAATATGTTGTTAATTATTTACCAAAGTGCAATGAAAATAATTTAAGATGCCATTATAGGGTATATAAATTAAATCTATCAAAACTATGCTTATAAAGTAAAAAACTAATTTTTCAAAAAATCAGTTTTCAAAATTCATATGTCCTAAATTACTCTTATGGTATAGTATACCACCAATTTTCAGTGAACAACTACCTTAAGTTGTCTTGGGTGGAATGCTAGGGTCAAAAATAACCTCAGCTCTGATAAGAAAGGAAGTTAAGGAAGTTTATACAGGTGCAAAGACAAAATATATCAACCGTAGCACGATAACGTCGATTGAATAATATACGATTTTCAATTCTACTAACAGGGTTATTCGGGAGCGCTTCAACTCTTTCCTTCGGTCGGAGATTCCATCTTATATAACAATGAATTGACTGTTGTTTTATACTCATGATTTTATTATAGTATTACATGGTGATTTTGTTTCGTGTTTTGCGGCGCTCTTAATTCAAATTAAAACGTTTGAGATATATTCAAAATTTATTTGAAATCTATTGCAAGGCTGCCACAGACTTTAAATCATTACAAACCATCGCCTTTATATCGTACCTTTTCAAACGTCATCGCTCCTGGTTCATAAACACGTCCACTTCTGCCTTCATTCACTTTTTTCGATAGTATTACACATTTTAAACTATATTTCAATATTTAGATGGCGATACGATCAACGATTCTATGAGAATAGTACCCTTCAAATCATTCATTTGGGAATTCAGAATCCGAATCATGCACGTTACATAGTAAATGTGATTGCACCTTCCGTGCTTCTGTGCATAAATTACATATGCTTTTGCAAAAACTGCTTTGTTTGTGTATTAAAACGGAATCTTCCACAGTCAACTTTCTCATATGACTAACAAAGATACAGCCATCTTTACCCCATAGAATGGTGGGATTGAAGTCCATCATATCTTTTTTGCATGTGAAAAATATTCAGATACCACAAAATTTCAGAAAAATGGAACCTTCATGTGCAGATTTGCCTATAATCATTGCAGCGTGTTATACAACAAGCCCTGGCCATGGTATTAACAATCAACGTATCCAATAGCTAGGTTATAAAAAATAACATCTTCTTACTGTTGGCACCTTATTTATACAAATCATTTTGGAGAATTTTCGTAAAATAGCCATAGAATCATGATCATTAATAAACTAATGAAACTTGTTCAAGTGTGCTCTATATGACTTTAAACCCATGCTGGATGATTGAGTAATTATACATTTGTTTGGATTGCCTTTTTGGCTCAACCTGTATATTCATTGTTATCATACAATATATTGACAACACCGGAGATTGAATTTGGAACGTGTTATGTTACACTTGTGTCCGTATAGAATATTTATTCATCGTCTTTGAAAAATACATTAACGAAGGTTTGGACGAACACTGGGTGCATATCAATGCCGTACTGCAATCCATGCCCGTATTTGTTAGACCATACTTCCGCTTCCAATGTATTCACGTTGACATATTTGCCTTGATAGAACTTGGCGGGGTGAACACCCAGGGTGCGTACTGAGAGAATGTGAGGCTCTTCATCAACCTCTGATTCTTTGCTGTCTATGATTCCTGTTTCTGCAAAGATTGCTGAATTTTTTGTCATTAATCCACTCCACTTACCTAAAATACAGATACACAAGGCACATTATAGTAAATACTTTTAAAAAAAAAGTCTCATGTGAAATCTTGAAATATTTTTATCGAAGGCATATTCTCTGTCTTTCATGTCTTTGTGTTTGATCTTCCCATCATGTAATACACGTGACTAAAGAATACTGATGTCATAATAAAACGTTTTACGAAGGCTATGTCCGAGGTGATATTTTTTCATGCTTATCATTATTTATTATATATTATTATTTACCTCATACATACTGCTTGCATGTGTTTAGACCAATTAACATGGTTAAGTTCAATTGAAATTCAATCATGTAAATCAAAACATGGCTTACTTATCAATATCGGGTCCAGGTGAAAATGCCAAATATAATTGGGAGAAATATGCATTGAGGGTGGGCCAAAAAAGGTAGCTCAGACAAATGTATGTTAATAGCTCAGTCATTCAACATGGGGTTAAAACCATAAGTGCTATAAAACTTTGTTCAATGTTCTTCCATTCTATCAAATTCCATTGGTCTACACTTAAAGGTAGAATGCCGATAAATCGGCGTTAATTTCTTAGAAATAAATCGTTAGTGCCTAAAACCTGCCCCGAAGAAACCTGGCTATCGCATGAACTTACTTTTGTCAAAATACCGGAGCCTTAAAAAATAATCACCTCGATATCGTCGAAAGAAGTTTTGATTGACTGCGAGACCAAAATTAAAGCTGAGTTACACAGTTTTCGTTTCGTTTCCTTTAAACTACGCCATCTACACGAGGGGAAAGAGTACCCGTGTAAATACAACCTACCGCCGAGCAAAGACCCGAAGATGTCTGAAAATGTAGGGGGTGAGTTATAAACTTTTGTTTATATCTTGAATTTCTCAATATGAGAAACAGATAAAAAACAGAATTGTGTGTAACTGATAAAGTTATTGTTCCAGGCACTCATGTTTGCAAAATAATGAGTACTTAGCGCAATGTTTACTATCCAATCGCTAAATTCAACTTTTAAATATTTGAATGATGATTTACATCTTGAATAAGTAACAACCATGGCTGTCTTTACTTCATTCGATTCAAAGATACAATAGGTGTAAATGTATCATATTTATTTCACTGCCATACGTTGCATATCATTGAAATCACCGGTGAAAGTTGAAAATGAAAGACCCGATTATGTCACGAGTACGATTATATAGGACCCGAAGCTACCACCGAGCTATTCCGACTATACCGTGAGTAGAACCCGATGAGGTAGTGAGCAAGCTTTCGAATGAGCATATAATATCATGACGATATCACAAATATTCCTTTTTATTTATCATATACTCCTGGCACCGGGATATAATATATACAGAATATCACATCATTTTGAGTGATATCATTTTTATCGCCGAGTTGATATCAAATATCAACACGAGTGAGCGAAGCGAATGAGTGTTGCTATTTGATATCTATGAGGCGATAAAATGATATCACGAGAAATTATGTGATATTGGGTTTATCCCATGATTACAATCACCCTGTCATGTTCTGATCCAATTTCCAGTATATGGCAGACAATATAAACTAGAAATTAGAATATCAGTTGATCGTAATTCAATACACCAATGAAACTTAAAGAGAATAAATTAACGGACCTATTTTCTCAAAAGAGAATACATAATCTGACCTAATTTCCAACAATATTGTGGCGCGAAATGCAAATGTGATATCACACGGATATGCGTGAGATAAACGATATCACACGCATATGAGTTTGATAAACGATTTTCTGGAAAATATCACACGGATTTCAATAATATCAGAAATATCAATAGCTGTTATTGTACAGATAACACATTAATCGTGGGATAAAATATGATATAATTCCCGCAGCACTATACGTCAACGTCTGTTTCCGACAAAGTTCTTTAAAACATTGAATTCATGCTTACACTTGAATCACCATAATTTCCTATGTGTCTATGGTAAGTAAAACATTTAATTCTGCATTGCAAGCGCCATTCTACTCAAAGAACACTACTTGAAGAATCCCAAGCTTCACAAGCTTCATATCCTCGAAACGAAAATTACCGCGATCTTTCTTTGATAATACAATACCATAGTCAAAAACATTGTAAATCCTTTTTTTGCCATTTAACTCAGGCACATTAACTTTAATACTCAGTAATGGATGGTGCTGACTGAAGTGGACCACAAAGTCATCCATCTCGTGTGATTTATAACTACAGTGGAAGCATTTGTACCGAGGACCTGAAATACAATGTTTCGATGTGCAGTGGTAACTGGTGATAGCCATATTTTTTTCAGTTTCAATTATTGTTCACAACAAAATGATTCACATGAATGATGCAGATTGTATTTTTATTATTTTTTCATCAGCACGTCATAAACTCGACGATATAATCGGATATCAACAGATTTTACTCAAGTAATGTTCGGATTATGAGATCCTTTACTCAAGATATTTTCGGATCTTTATAATATTACTCGTCGATCACATCGGGTCCGATGTCCGATAACATCGGATCTTTTAGGACAAAGTTTAAGTGAAGATTTTGCTGTTCAAAAGTGCTATTTTGACCTAATATTTTGACACTTAATATATTATGCATATGCACATCCATTTACCGACCCAAGTATGTCTTATGTATGGCTCATTATCAATTAAAGCGAGTATGAATGAGAAAAACAAATCGAAAACCATTATACGTTTACCTTATCTCTTAATTTGGACATAAAAATATATTTCAACTATAATTCTAGGCCAATTGCGCCTGCTAGAACATCTTAGTAACAATTCTAACCATCTAAAGGAATTGTTAGTGACATTATATTACCTTTATTGTCCATTTTCCTACGAGATGACATTATCAAACATTTGCTCGGCGGTATATGCGTGTCTTGCTCGGCGGTAGGTTGTATATACACGGGTACTCTTTCCCCTCGTGATCTAGTGAATGAATCGTTGTTTTGTGTCACAGATCGTTGTTTTGTGTCATATGACCTACCTTTAGACAATTCCCTTGTCGATCCAAAAAGAAAATTTGCAAAATAATATAAACTCCGCTTGACATAATCCTTGTCACTCTATCGTCTTCTTGATGAGATACATCGGAACTTGGTATTCATAGCCATTTAACCAAGCCACAAAAAGTATGCATATTAGTTGAATGTTCAACATGTTCAATTGTGTTAATATTTTCGGCATTCCACCTTAAATGGTCATGATTTTATGGCCTTTTACAAAACATGCTCCAAATGTTGAAATGTGCCACACTTACCAAACATAAATCCCCAAGATTTTTATCTGTGAGGCTAATGTATTCAATAACAACCCTTAAAATATTGAAACAATAGATAACATGTTTGGGTTCGTGTAAAGAAAAACTTCGCTCGAAACGAGAAAGCTTAAAGATACAGTATATAGGTTTCTCTCCCGGACACTCATACCCTTTGCATTCGTTTGACTTCATTTCTTAAAAGAGAGCTTCGTCTTTAGTTTAACTAGACTCTACACGCAGGGTAGGACAATCACATATGTCCCGTTATATTGCTAATAAAATATCTTATATAATTTAGATAAATCTTCAGACCAACTTTTGGGTGTGTTATTGCCGATATATTGAAATAATCACCAGAACTAACAACTGTCAGAATGAAACACATTAATTGATTCTGCAGCATCGAGGGGAATCCCCTTCACTTGACACTGACACGCCTTGAACCAGGTGGCCAATCAGGTTCATGATAAACAAATCTAACTATCAATCAGAGAGCATCTAGGATTTCCCCGGCTTATTCAATTTTCAGATTTAATTAATTTCGACGAAAATAATTCGACCGGCCAATACAATCGCAAAATTAGCACATAAAGCCGTGGATTCGGGATTTCTTCGTTATTTGGGACTTCTTCGTTGGTAAGTAGGTGAATATGTGGTACGACCAAACGTGGAAAATCAAGGGGGTCTTTATTGTGCTATCCTATCGCAATATCCTTCTGTAATAAGAGACACGATGGTGGTATTTTACAGCAGGTTTTGTAAATTGGCCATGTAGCCAATAGCTTCACCAGTGGGGATAGACCGATGAAAAGTCGTAGATCAAAAGACGATTAAAACAATATTTGATTTTGCTCAATATGACCACAAACCCTTGCTAGTTGACTGAGTTTTCAACATTTGCTTATGTTCATGCATTTTTTGCCTCACCCTGTATATGGAAGTTAATGATCACGATGTGGAGTACATAACCAGAGAGATGAATGATCAAAAAACGCTGGATTTGACATTTAATGGATCACCAAACCTCCGTCACATTTGCTCTACGGCGGCCGTGCGGAGGGCATAGCTTCACGGAATCTATGTAGAAAATCGACATCGTACTGATTATCCCTATATTCTATTCTGCATATTCATCTCGATTAGGGAAAGCTATTGCCGCCGTACGTTTGCCGTAGATCAAATGTGATTGAGACATTAGACACTTTGTATTCTTGCATGAGTTATTTAAAATTGACTTACCACCCTCGAGAATTGTATCCTCAGTGGCAACAATTACATATCCGACTGATCTGAATTTTGCATTTTTGTAATGGGTCACGCGTTGAATTGGTGTTGTTTCCGTTACGACTCTAAGATCAGCGTTTAAAACGTAGCCCATAAACGTCAAATTCCCAAAGACTACATTCCTACCCATTTTTAGCTCTTCGTCAGTAAGTATGCTCATATCGACATTGTACCTCTCTTTAACATATGAAAGAAACTCTCTTCCTACAATGGCATAACACACCAATGTTGAATTAAATTACATTTTTTATTTCAAACACAGCCATACGAGTATGTAGTAGATTAGGCTTTCCAAATTGATAACTGCAGATTTTTTACTTGGCATAAGGGATAACTGCAGATTTGACTCTTTACCAAGTGCTATAAAAACTGCACATTTGACTCCCCGTTAGGTATAAATGCAAATTTGACTCTTCACCAGGGAATACTGTAGATTTGACTCTTCACCAGGGAATACTGTAGATTTGACTCTTCACCAGGGAAAACTTCAGATTTGACTCTTCACCAGGGAAAACTTCAGATTTGACTCTTCACCAGGGATAATTCCAGATTTGAATCTCCATCTGTGAATACTGCACAATTGACTCCCAATCAGAGATAGCTGCAGGTTTGACTCTCCAACAGGGATAACTGCAGATTTGACTCCCCATCATGTATAACTGCAGATTTGACTCTTCACCGGGGAATACCGCAGATTTGTCTCCCCATCAGAATTAGCTGCAGGTTTGACTCTCCAACAGGGATAAGTGAAGATTTGACTCTTCACCAGGGATAACTATATATTATCCTACACTTAATGTACTAAATGCACAATAACATTGAAAAAATAAATTTGATATTTATTGGCAAAATGAATAACCGGAGTATATCGTAACGATATACTCCGGGCGGAGGATATCGTGACGATATACTCCGGAAAACCCAATATGCGGAGGATATTGTGACGACATACTCCGCTTGTTGATTTCCCGCCAAATTGACTCTATTTGGCATGAAATTCATTTTGCAATGATAATATACATTTAGGTGATATTGATATATGGTGATATTGGTATTGATATGGTGATATTGATATATGCTCTCGTTCGCTTTGCTCTCTCGTGCAGATATCAATATCACCTCGTAGATAAAAATGATAGTCCTCAAAATCATAGGATATCCTATAATTATCCTACACTTAGTGTACTTAATGTATAATAACATTAAAAAATAAATTTGATATTTATTGGCAAAATGAATAACCGGAGGATATCGTGATGATATACTCCGGGCGGAGGATATCGTGACGATATACTCCGGAAAACCCAATATGCGGAGGATATTGTGACGATATACTCCGCTTGTTGATTTCCCGCCAAATTGACTCTATTTGGCATGAAATTCATTAAGCAATGATATTATACATTTAGAACACTCCTTGTTAGTGTAGGATAATAAGAACATCCTATGATTTTTTTTAGAATATCATTTTAATCTACTCGGTGTGTATATGCACTCGTTCGCTTTGCTCTCTCGTGCAGATATCAATATCACCTCGTAGATAAAAATGATATTCCTCAAAATCATAGGATATCCTATAATTATCCTACACTTAATGTACTAAATGTATAATAATATTAAAAAATAAATTTGATATTTATTGGCAAAATGAATAACCGGAGGATATCGTAACGATATACTCCGGGCGGAGGATATCGTGACGATATACTCCGGAAAACCCAATATGCGGAGGATATTGTGACGACATACTCCGCTTGTTGATTTCCGGCCAAATTGACTCTATTTGGCATGAAATTCATTTTGCAATGATATTATACATTTAGAACACTCCTTGTAAGTATAGGATAATAAGAACATCCCATGATTTTTTTCAGAATATCATTTTAATCTACTCGGTGTGAATATGCACTCGTTCGCTTTGCTCTCTCGTGCAGATATCAATATCACCTCGAAAATAAAAATGAAATTTCTCAAAATCATAGGATATCCTATAACTATCCCCTGTGTGATGATTGTTGATTTGTCAAAGACATGCAAGACAAATACACAGTATGAATGACTAAGGTCAGACATAACCAAAATACTGTTACAACTGTGCGAGGAATGTGTCGGGAATTCCACATGGTCACTACTGCTTATCTAGATGTTCGGCAGATTTATGATGGGTCTTCGCTAAGGCCATTATATAAAGGGCAATAAATATATACATACATACACGTACATACATGAGAAGTTGATTTTTTTATTTGCATCACCTTGTTTGCACGAATTTGAATAAATCAGTAAAAACGCATCCAAATGGCAATCCCAAGTAAAAGTACCATTGCATTTTTTTCGTTTTCAGAATCAGATTTGGTGGTCAATTTGATCATGATGTGCTTCAAAATTGTCAATGTTATTGATTTATATGGCATATATTGTGTTTTTTAATACAGCTATGTTTAATCAGATATATTTCATATGATGTATAGAATTGAGATGGGTGTCTGTAATCACTCATCATGAAAATTGGTATGTCATCATTTTTGTGCATATTAAATGTATACATTTACCAAGCAAACAATCTTGTGTTTTTTGAGTTAGTGTTTGTTTTCCTTGCATGATTTGGAGTTTGCTTAGAAACGGAAATTTTGTAACTGTTGCGAAAACACAATTTAATCTGTGACATTTCTGGAAACAACTCCTTCGCTTTGGGTATGAATTCAATAAGAATCATTTTAAAGATTACCTTTTTGGAATATGTCTTCATCCGTTTTCACATCCCGATCAATAGTCCCCCATACCCTCGTAAGTCCATCTTCTGGCGCATTGGAGAGACCAGGAACCTTGGAATCCATAATTGCTGAAAACGTCACTAATCCTGAACTTCTTTTCGACATTCTCCCCTTGTCACAACATCCCGCTTTTTTACCACATTCGAAAGCTTGTAGAAAGCATAACATCAATATTGCGTTGAAAGATGTTTTCCCCTTCATGGTGCCTCAATAATATGCACCGTCAAAAATGCAAATGCAAATTGTATTCGCAACATAAAACGTGTCATGTGATCATACATACATAATGCCAAACGTGTCATGTGATCATACATTTGGCCAATCATATCAGAAGATGTTTTCATGTGACATATATAAAGATAAATATACATCTGTTATATTATAAAACTTGTTTAGTGTTCCGGATATTAGATTTTCACAAAGATAACTTTTATTAATATTTTGTCATTAAATCATTTTTTATTATTTATACGTAGTTGGCAAAAATATAGAACAATTCTGTTTTAAATAATTGTGATACTTTTTCATAATTTGATGTATAGAATCATGATATTACATCAAAAAGAATATAGAAATGTGTGTTTTTAGATAAAGTGGTAATTTCAAAAAGTGATATTCGATGGTTTCAAAAGTGATATTCGATGGTTTGGGAATTGTTTGCGAAAATAAGATATCTTCATCCACTTATCAATTATATCTTCACGTGATATTCGATCTATATCCTTGTAACCATGGGATAAAGATAAAAGCGGCAGAAATATTGAATATTTTGAGAATCAATCATTTCTTTCGGATAACAATCGTTTTTTTTAAATTTCAGCTTGAATATAGTAAGGTTTGGGCCTCAAAACCCTTGTGCAACATAACATCATAGCATTTCGTATACACCCCTCCCTGTATATATCAGACGGTAATAATGAAGACACCGGCTTGATGTACACCTTGTTATATTGGATACAAGTCAGAACATTTTCCACCCACTGAGACTGAACAGATATAGCGTTTGTGCAAAAGTTTCCATATTTTACCTTGAATTCCATAGTTATAGAGTTACCAGAAGACCATATATCCATACGGAATCAAAAGCTTTTCACATATCCATTACTGTTACCATAACCATTTTACCCTGTTCTGCATTTTCAGAAATAGTTTCTTGTACAAGTGATGTATGAATGGACGAGCATTTTTTGACTCCTGCCCCTTGTAAATTTGGGATAGCTCTTAGAACATGTGTCTTTATTTGATCTAGAATGATGTCAAACAATTTTCGTAGCATTGTCATCATACCTCTTGAGCTATGGTGTACAACATCTTAATGGATTGGCCATACCTTATCCCGTTCCCGGACTATAGTCCTGCACTGAGCGCATTCATTTGCCTGTACGATTACAACTTGGGAGAATTATCTACGCCCCTTACACTTAAGATACCTACCTCAATGCATTATAGAACTCAAGATGTAACTTCTAATATATTGGAACCGCCGATTGTCTGGGTATATCGGCAGAACGGGAACATTTCTCTTTTTCATCGAGAGAGATTCCATCACTTTTCAAAATGGCGGTTGGATTTAAAAGGGGAATCCCCCGTTTGGCTGTCCCGGATGTAGACCGGAAGTACCAATATGGAGGAATTTGACGGTTGAAATAAGTTAAATGTTACACGCAAATATTGCGATCAAAAACGAAAATGTCTTCGTTCTGCCGATAAACCCAGACAATTGTGGATTCAACTACACGAAAAGAATGCTAAATTACCAAGGAATCTATTGAAGTAGGTATCTGAAGTGTAAGATGAGTAAAAAATTCTCCCATGTTGTAATCGCACAGGCAAAAGATTGAGATGTTCACAGGACCATAGTCCGGGAACGGGATAAGCCATACCCACTGTAACTATATTGAATAGCATGCATCGGTTCATCAAAATCAAGCCACATAATTTTTTGTTGTTCCGTACCTTTACCATCATTCGCCAGGCGTTTTACCGTATACTACATTGCTGATATTTCTTTATAGTTCTCAATAATAACACATCGTCCATTTACCTCACTTCGTATTAAATGAATAAACGCACGGAGCACACCGCGTCTCGAACTCGCAACCTCGTGGTTACGGCGCCCAATCGCCTAGCCTGAACGTGCTGGCGCCTAAGATGTAGTACATGGCTGATACCATTTGAGACATCTCAATGCAATGTTAGACTATCTATATTCCTTTCTGCAATACCATATCACATAAGTGTGGACTGAACTCTGCCATAATGACATCTGCTAGAAATATGCAATAAGGAAGCTAAACTTCTTTGGACTCAGTCCGAAATAACCAGAAGGTCCCATCTTAATGACCCGTGCCCATATACTTTGATACGTTGTATCTTTTTTCAGGGACACCACTCGATTCTGACACTTTGCAATCTTATGTAACGTTCCTTAAGGAACAAAATTATATAACATGATAAGGTATATATACTACACGTATGCGTTTATGGAGGATGTATACATATGAAACAGATTGTAACCTGAAGAAAACTACTAGCTTCCAACTTTCTGCCAGACTAGATACAATATCAAATCAGTTTTATCATTTATACACGTTGGGCCAAAAAAATTTAAAAATAGCGAGAAATAAACATTTTTTATTTGAAATAATTATTTAAATTTAAAGCGTAAATAAAATTCAGTCTCCATACTTCGCTGTATAAGATGATGGTATTGCCACATTAATCAGTTACATCAGCTATAGGCATATGCTCCCTTTCATCATACAAGTATAATAGAGAATAATTTTCTTTTCACCTTATCCAAAATAAAGATATACATTACTTAAAAACACATACGGCTTACTACTCGAATAATGTCCTTCTTTACAAAAACTTGAAATGACATTTTATGTCTTTAGAGGTAAAGTTTTACAATCAAGGCTATGTTTTTATGTGACTCTGATGGGAAATGAAGATATATAAACAATTAAAGCGATAATGAGATATAAAAGATACTAGTGACACATGTATATTAGTAATTTAGTAACCAATTACTTATCTGGTAATTTCTATTGGTCCTTAACTCAAGGGTGGATCTGGGAACCAACAAGGGGGAGGGGCAAATTTCAGGTCTGAGAAAAAGAATTTGGGCCTCTAAAACCAAAAGGTGGGCCCAAATTTTGAAATTTTGAGGCCCATTTTCTTTTGGCCTTAGATTAGAAAATAAGGCCTGTAATGACCAAAAAGGCCTACTTCTCGGGGCGTTTATGTCTGGGCCCACCCAGTGTTAACTATATTCCAAATATATGACTGTTTAACAGATAATCTCAGGCCTGTCAATCATTTCAAATGGTTAAAATATAAATGTTAAATAATAATTTGTAAAGCCATTATACAGATAACATTAAGAAAAATTCATAATGGATTTCAATATTCTTGGAATGTTATTCCTTACAATCTCAAATACAATATCTCTCAAAAGATTCATGATATGTTATAAATTGGTGAAGTTATAATGGATTAAAAGTGCAAAAATGGGTCAAAATTTTTTAAACTCTCCCAAATAATAAGAATGGTAACCATTTTTATTGAAAAATTATACATTTATTGTAAAAATCTTTAGTTTTCCTGAAATAAAGTGTACTTTTGGGATTTTTAGAAAATAGACATGTGAAGGAATGACATGAGCCAGAAATATTCTGAAATTGAAAGGATTTTTTGTGGGCCTTCTCGCCAGAACTGATTCTCTCTTTAAAGTCATAAATCTAAAAAGCAGATCAAAATAGTGTATGCGTGTATTTTTTAGTTGTGTTTATGTTGTCTTTAGTTGTATGAGTTTATTTATGTATGACAGTCAAGTCGAGTAACTAAGTCAACATTCGAAACTAAAAATCTCAAAAATCGTACATCTTTGATTTCCAAAATAATTTGTGAGGTGGTTATTATGATGATAATACACATTTTAACGTATTAATTTTGAGTACACCTCGAATCCATTCTCAACAAAGCGTTCTCGAAATAAGTCTTCGAAATGTTTGAGTTCGGGATGACAAAAGTACGTTAAGATATACCGCTCCTTAACAAATTCCTTAAAGAACAAGATATGGAATCATAAGCATATTCTTCTTATATACTCCCTGACACATGCCAACGAATGTTACATTAGTTAATATCTCCGTTTCAAATGATTTTGCAAACGTAGGTGCCATATTTTATAATTGAAAAACAAAATTGAACATTTTGCATTTCTAAATTGATAAGTTTCTTTGAATACAACTTAACCGTTAACGATTTAAGTCATTAATATTATTTCTCTTGGTGATCCCATGCTAAATTGACAGTAACTGGGTCAATGTTTTATGTTCAACCTTGTTTTCATGACTTTTAAACATGCGTCGACAATTATGTAGGAAATTTCAAATCCAAATGTAAGCGTGTCAACTGTTGTTTTTGCACAATATTTAGCCTTTTATAATGATAGATCGCCAAAATCTGCGTGTACCTCTCAATGAGGCGATATTTTTTTTAATTTATAGATGTAAGCTATAAAATTTAACAAAAATTCAAACCACCCGCTATTATTTTGATTGCACGAGACGAAATTTTCACTCCCAGGGAGCACTTTGGTAACACTTTGAAGGAGGATTCTAGAAAAATCGTCCGAATTTTCACAAAAGGTTTCATGAAATTTCATTGCTTTGTTTAAGCCTCGACTAATATCATACTCAAATCCGATACTATAATTATCAATTAAAATGAAACATTCAACTCACCAGGTTATATGATAAACCGTTTCGAGAATTGATGATTTGAGTTAACTGTGGATATTTATATAAGTGTAAGTCGGCATGTATTCGACAGTTAATGTACACGTATGATGTACACGTATGCATCAACGTGTGACTTAAATATCAATTCGTGAATATCATATTTGGCTTTCAAAAATGAACTTGGAAGTTACAGTGGTAGGAGATTAACGAAAACGTCAATCACATCCAAATATCCAAACGACGTCAAGTATTAACAATACACTTTTCGTGCATTTCGAACAAGGTAAGGTTCTGTGATCCAGCCATGTGTATTCTAAAGAAAATATTCACAAATATCAACAAATTTCATTGAGTAGGATATTACATTCGAAATCACAACTTTCAAAATATTTGTTTTAACAAAGAATTGTAAGAACTTGAAACATGTTGTTAGTTTTTCAAACTGCATAACCTCATTTACGTTCTTTGACAAGGATGAATCCATTTGAAAACATGTATTTTCTTGACTATTCTTCAAAACTACCCGTGAAATAAAAGTATGTAGGATATTACAGTGTAAATTGGCACGCATTTGTTTGCTCCATATCATAAAAAATAATGCAGTACAATCTCTCAATAACAGAAAGTTCATTCTGTATGTAAACAAGAAAAAATACATAAATGGTTCATAATGAAAAATGACAAATAACAGTCATCTTTTGAAGTAGGGGTATACAGGGACATAGTGGAAATTCAGAAATTTAGGCCATAACCCCAAGATTGTTTTACCAATATGTAACAGAACATCGCAATTATCATTTACACGTTTGCTGATAGGTTTATTGAAAATAATTAACCAGAGGTTTACTTCAATTGTGGCACCATTTTTAGTAAATATTGATGAACATACGAATATCGAATGTTGACTAAGTTACTTGACTTGACCGATGAGCGTATCAGTGTTAAACATTGTAAACATGAGCAAACAATATACTATTCAGGTTTATGAGTTTCTTTTAAACCCAGGTCTGTCATCGTACTGTACAACTGACATATAAAATATCCTACAATGAACATGGTAAGTTACATACCTTACATAGTCTTAACATTACTGACTCTAATGTAACTAATTTTTTACATAAACATCACGCATATAAAAATATGTCAGATGTAGACGATGTACATGTAAAACACTTGTCTTGTTTTGGAAATACACCCTAATGATTTCCTTTGATTAAAGGACGAGTACCTCTTATTCTGATCATGAATTAATATGTTTTCATGCGTAATTATATGTAGCTTGCATCATCAATAGATTTTTGGGTTATATAACCAGTATTTAAGATAAAAAATCCAAACATTGACTTTTAAACTGAGATTATTTTTACCCAGGACAATGTCGAACCCACTGTGACAAAGCCAGTTGATACAGATGGTGATGAGAATGAAGAGCGTGGAAATTGGAATAACAAAGTTGAAGGATTTCTATCCGTCCTTGGCTTCAACATAGGGCTAGAGAATGTCTGGAGGTTTCCTTACGTTTGTTATAGGAACGGTGGAGCAGTGTTCCTTGTCCCCTACACCATAATGTTGATAGTCCTTGCTATACCTCTAACATTCATTGAATTGTCAATCGGGCAGTTCTCCAGCTCGGGAGTTATCACCTGTTGGGAAATGGTGCCTTTATTCAGAGGTTAGTTTGTAGTTAATAAGAATTAAAGGTAGTGCAAGGAACATACTGCAATTTTAGTGTGCTTGGGTCATGACATGGTTTACATTCAGTGGGATAATAGATAAAACATAAACAGCAGACTGAAAGTGAACTTGGGAGTACATTTCAAATACACTCCCCTCCATAAGTTTGGCAACCTTAGCTCCCTCGTTGAACTAGGTGTTAAAGCTTCTTTTATGTTTGAATTTTTATTTACATAACCTCTGAAGAAAATACTTGTACTATTGATGGGAATGTAACTTGACTTCATTTCCAATGCCTCCAAAATCTCAATTTTTTCCTCAAATACAATAGTCCTAAAATTGATGATAAATCTGATGATTTTTCAAAAATCGTCATTCCCCTATAAACCAATGGAAAATGGCGGGTTTGGGACAAATCTAATTTTTTTTCTCTAAAATTAAAATCAAATACATAATAACACTTGACACTTTTAGTAAGTGTATCAGCGTGAAAACATTTAAATATTAACCTGAGTCAAATGGAAATGAGAATAAAAAGAACAATTTAAATATATTTACTCAGTTAAATGAGAATAAAATTGATAACAATATATAAAATCTACATATATGTTTGTCAGTAATTCAGTTCATCATAGGTTGATGTCATATGAATTTTAAAATTATTTTTAAAACAGTTAATGGAAGGTAATGTTTTCAAACAAGTTGGCAGATTATTCCAAAGCTGAGCACCTGAATATTTTATTGAGTTTTGACCTATAATTGTTCTAAATTTTTTCATGTGAAGACAATTTTGGAATCTTGTCTCATGTTCGTGAAATATCAAATTTGGAGTAAAATAATTTTCAAATATGTCAAAAGGAAAGCCATCGGGTTTTGTTGTGTATTGATAAAGAAATTTTGCAACTTCAAGCTTATGTATGTCAAAAATATCTAGAAAATTGAGTTGTTTAAAAAGAGGTGGGCTATGTGCTAAAAAGTCAGAGTTTGTGATTATTCTCACTGCACGTTTTTGTAACAAAAGCAATTTATTCAAAAATGTTTTACATGCATTACCCCATATGATGTTGCAATAGTTCAATTGTGATAATATAAGTGAATTATAAATGGTAATCATGGTTTTTGTATTCAATTTATATTTAATCTTTCCCAGAATACCAATAATTTTAGATATTTTATGTATAACCTTATTTATGTGCTCATTCCATTTTAATTTACAATCAATTGTTACTCCCAGAAAATTTGTATGCATTACTCTTTCAAGAATATTACCCCCTATTTTTATATTTAGAATGTCTATCCAGTAAAAGATTCACCAAAAAATATGTTTGTATATATAATTGAATTTCTAACTTTTTGTACTCTAAGTGTGCATTTTACTTTATGAATACTAAAGTTACAGAGCTTCAAAGTCATTTTTAGAAATTTTTCGCCTCTTGTGTTATTTCAATGGGAGGAGTTTTTTGAAAAAATTGACTTTAAAGTTTTTTTAACCTGAAGAAACGTATCAATTTTTATTAGATAAAGTTAGCAAATTCAATTGACAACCTAACTTGTATTTTTTTACCAGAACTCAGATGGATGAATACTCTGTCATATGACTTGCGGCAAATCTTCCATTTCCAATTGGTTTACATGGGAATTTCGATTTAAGGTTGCCAAACTTATGGAGGGGAGTGTATGTTTAACCTCTTAAAGTCAAGAGGATGTAAATTAAAACGCAAGTCTGATAATATGAATATTTTCAGACGAAATTCTAATGTTGAGAGAAAAGATGTTAAATGAATTACAGGAATCGGTCTGGTCTATATATGGTGCTGCTTGTACTGTATCTTACCTGATGGAATTTCAGGTTGCATTGTACTTTAAATGAATTTGTGATGCTGGTTGTTTTGTATGGAATTTTTTCTGCATCTTTATTCGATTTTCACACTTTTGTATTTGATTACAACCATTCGATATCCCACTCTTTAAAATAATTCGAAACACGTATTCAAATTTGTTTGTTTTTACACATTTATATTTGATTTATGTACCTATATATGCGGTAAATTCACTTGTATATGCGGTTTATGTTATTCAGTGTTTGGTAAAATGTCACATATTTAAGTCCATGTACACACACGAACAAAGACGTTTGACACATATATTTAGAACACGCATCAAATACAAATACACTTTAGAACCAAACAATGTTCATTTACCGAACAATCGGAGAGTACAAAATAGCACGGACATATAGTTACTTACCCCACATAATTAATGACATGTACTTTCGCATAAATTCATGTGGGGTAAGTCACGTAAAAACCGAAGATATTAATGTTACGAATATTGATGCAATAAATACACTATAGCATGTTGCATAAAACCATTCGGTAAATCACGTGACCAGTGACGTAGAAATAATTTCAAAATGGATGAAACAATTGAGGAAAAATAATTTGAACACGATTCATATTCACAATTCAGAGGGGAAATTGAAGTTATTAGATCATTGCACCAGGCATGAGGCTACAAGCGATCCTTTCTTAATAGAAGATACGTGTTCGCGATTGGAGAATCACACCAGAGCTCTTGAAATATATTGATGACCGAAGTCACGTGACTTACCCCACATCAAAACAGTGAACATTGATAAAATCATTCGGTAAGTCACGTGACTTACCCCACAAATGAATATGTTTACCACAAATGAATATGTTACCCAATACGAATGGTACTTGGCATCGCACATATTTAAAATACTTACCAAATTTATATTTGATCGTGTCAAATACAGTTTGAAGCATCTTACATATTTGTTGTGTAAGACAGTAAATTATATGTGGGATAGTAGGTACCATTTGTTGTAACCCTACCCCCCCCCCCCCCCTATCACACCAAACTCGTTCTTACCCGTTCTTGCCAGTCCTACGAAAACGTCGTAAAACGGGCTCAATCTGGCTGTGGTCGGGAAATATGTCTGAAATAATTAGCTTCTTCGTTCTTAAACAGTCTTCAATACGTCCTTCTCGTTCGCAGTTCGTTCAGGTCGCACCACGTCGGTGTGCAACGTAGTAGAACGCGTCCCTTAGTCTAGAAGGTCAACATGACCTGATTACAGAACGTTATGGTCGCCATCGAATTTTGAATCGATTCAAAATTCTAAAATCACATTCCCGTCTGAGAACGATCATAAAGTTCGTAAATAGACCTTAGAAAGTTGCAGCTACGTTCATTCCGTTCGCACACAGTTTTGAAGAACGCAGTGGCAACTTGTTTGGTGTGATAGCTATATTTTTGCTAACTCGTTCATAAGCAGTGTTAAATACGTTCTCAATCAGTTTAAACCCGTTTGCAATTAGTTCTACCTCGTTCTCAACACGTCCTCAGACAATTCAACTCGTTGTTAAAACGTCCCTAGTAGGATTGAAGTACGACGGTTCCGTTCGTAGTACGTCCAGCTCGTCGTTAGTACGTTGTCATTCGTTCTAATTGTAGAACGTGACGACCACGAGAACATTTTGAGCATGTTCTAAGTTCTAGAGGACCTACCCGTTCGAGTACGTTCGATGAAGTTTGTTAATAGATCCCAAACGGTTCTTAGTAGGTCCAGTCCGTTCGTACACAGTTGAAGCCCGTTTTTGAGAACGTAGTGAGAACTAGTTTGGTGTGATAGTACTATATATATTATAGGAATCGGGGATACTGGTTCTATTGCAAATGTATCTTACAGGAATTGGGGATACTGGTTCTATTGCAAATGTATCTTACAGGAATTGGGGATACTGGTTCTATTGTAAATGTGTCTTACAGGAATTTGTGACACTGATTCTATTGTATCTTGATGAGTTTCTGATGCTGTTTGTATTGTATCTACCAATGATCTATGATGCTTGTTCTAATAATTTTTGATGTTCTTTGATTGCATCTTAGAGAAATTTGTGATGCTTTTTTAATATAACAATACGCGATAACGTTTAATTTAGTTCAGTTTAGTTACCTCCCGTTTGAAGAGCTCTCATGTATGGTACAACTTCGTCTAAATCCGAAAACCAAAATTTTGAAAATCTATGGCACGTTTTTTGAAAATTTGGCCTAACATTGAAAAAATAAGGCCCAAAAAGGTCAAGGAATGGCCAAAAAGGCCCACTAAAGAGGCCCTACAATATTTTTGGGCTAACATTTCTTTTCAGGGCCCATCCTACGGCAGCGCAGAAAAAAATTTAGGGCTCTAAAACCAAAATATTGGCCAATATTCTGAAAATTTTTGGCCCGTTCTTTTGAAAATTTGGCCTAACATTGAAAAAATAAGGCAAAAAAAGGTCAAGTAATGCCCAAAAAGGCCCATTAAAGAGGCCCTACAATATTTTTGGGCCAACATTTTTTCTGGGCCCATCCTATGGTCGCGCGGAAAACTTTTAGAACCCAAATTTTGAAAATGTATGGCCCGTTTTTTGAAAAGGCCTAAAATTGAAAAATAAGGGCCAAAAAGGTCAAGTAAAAAGGTCAATTAAAGGCCAACTAAAGAGGCCCTACAATATTTTTGGCCCAACATTTTTTCTAGGCTCATTCTAGGGCCGCGCGTAAAATTTTTAGGGCCCGAAAACCAAAATTCGAGCCAAAATTTAGAAAATTTATAGCCTTTCTTTTGAAAATTTGGACTGAAATTGAAAAAAATAATGCCCAAAAAGGTCAAGTAATGCCCAAAAAGGCCCACTAAAGAGGCCCTACAATATTTTTGGGCCAACATGTTTTTCCGGGCCCATCCTAGGGGAGGGGGCGGCCCCTTGAACCGCCCGAAGGCTATGTTTAAGAAAGAACAAAGGACGATCCTAAAAAACAGAGGGAAGGGGGCACAAATATGTCCGCAAAAAAAATTGGGCCAAATTTTGAAAATGATGCCCAAATTCGAAAAATAATGTACAGTAATGACAGTTTTTTAATCTTAATTGCTCAGTGAATGTGGGGAAGAGCAAGTTTTTCTTCAAGGAAGCAAAAAGGTAGGTCCACATATTTTTAGGAGATATCATGGGAGGGGGGCTCGCACGGGCCCCCAGAGCCCCCCCCCCCCCCCCCCATCCCCTCCCCCCGGTGTACATGCGTTATATCTTACAGAAATTTATGCTTTTTGACTGTAAATCTTACAGCAATTTGTGATGTGATGTTTATAGTCGTATTGTTTTTTAAAAAATTATGCTTGCTATATTTTACAGGCATTGGTGTATCCATGATGCTGGTAATAGGTATGATTGCTGTGTATTACAACATGATCATTGGGTATGGCTTATTCTATATCGTATCAAGCTTCACTGCAAATGTGCCATGGGGAAGGTGTGATGCTGAGTGGAGCACTGAAGGTATGACATGGCCAAAGAAATCCTTAAATATGGGATGGATGGGATAAAAGTCCAATCATGACGTCACCATACGGACAGGTCTTATTTTTACAACTAAAAGGGAAACGCTGTGAAATATGTGAGGGTTCACTTTTTCTTTAGATTGTGAAGCCAGACTGGTTGAAATAAACTGCACAGATATGATATTACATACAAACGGCACATGTTATAATGGCACCGAGTACATTGGGGTAGGGGATATGTCCCTCTTCACAAATGTTACTGGTCGCAAGCCAGTTGCAGCATCCGAGGAGTACTTTTAGTAAGTGAAGTTACCATATGAATGAATAAGTAAATAAGTTTTCAAATGGAAAACACCAACCAGTCCTTTTTATTTTCTAGATAAATACAATACCGCAGAGAGTTCAAAATGAATTATTGTAATGTCTTTCTATCATGTGATGGATAATTATACAGGGTGGTCAAAGAAAAATTCAGAGCTCTATCACACCACCAATTACTCAGATGCGAGTAGGTAGTTACCAGTTTCGCCACCAGGTGGCTGACTCGGGGGAAATAACATGGCAGGGTATTACAAAATTCCCTTAAACTTGAATATTCATCAGTTTTAGTGGTTCACTATTCATATTACCCTTATGTATCTGATAGTTATACAAATTAAAATATGTCCAGTAAAAGAAAATATTATCTGCCCAACACAAGAAAAGATATTTCACTTTTTGTGGTTTTACAACATGGGTGCTATGGGGAATCTCCCCGACCTAGAAGTCACATTTTCAAAGAAAATTAAATTTTCAAAGTTGATAAACTCTTTTCAAAACCATATTTCTAGATGTAATTTTACATGTAAATTCCAAATATGACATCAGTTTGACTGAATTTTGAATTTTTAATGACTTAAATCAAGATCATTTCTACTCGCATCTAGGATATTACAATTTAGTATTCTCTGTTATTCGGCTTGTTCAGCATTTTCATTATGCTCATTGTGAAAATGGCATTCTAGTATTATGTAGACTTTCATGAGAATTAAAAAATCGAAAATTCTTGGAAATACGCGACTTTCAAAAAAATAAAAAATCGTTTCCACGATATTCATTTTAAATTCAAGTTTAAGAAACTTCTTTTTTAAGGCATGTCAATAGCATCGATTGGTTAATTTCTAAAACTTGAACATTGCTTCAAACTGAAACTCTACAACAACATTGGTTCATCCATTTACATAAACAAATCACTACTTATCATACTGTATTTTCTTGAAGATATCATGCGCAGAGGATTGGTGGATTATATTTATTATGGTATTTTCAGCAATTCTCTGCTCCATTTTGGGGGCTCTGATGGAATCGGAAACATTGGGCCACCACAATGGCACTTGGTCTTATGTCTCCTTGGATCTTGGACCATCGTCTGTCTCTGTATGATTAAGGGGATCAAAAGTACAGGAAAGGTTAAATAAGATGTTGTTGGCATAAACTGAAATTATAGCGTTATAGATTTCTCCCCAATGCCTCACACCTATCCGAATTTGTTCGTCTTCATCAAAGATTCCAATCTCCTCAAAACGTTTGCAAACCTGACTTGTATATTGGGCATGAGCGAGATATTAAGAGATTTGCATATTTGACAATTTTGGTGACATATTTGAATTCTTGGTGCATTTTAGGCAGTGTACGTAACAGCATTATTCCCCTACGTGTTTTTGGTAGCAATGCTTATATTTGCCCTCCTTCAGCCCGGGGCACAGGAAGGGATATATTACTACATACAGAGGGCTGAATGGGACCGCCTGACAAAACCAGAGGTGGACTGGATTTTTCAAATGACCACTTTGTATTTTTTATTCATATATCACAGTATAGATGTCACATGAATTGAATCTAATAAATGTGCATAGAATGAGTTACTTAAACACAGATACATAAACGTTCATATATCACATTATATACGTATAAAAGTACGTTGTCTATATATCTGATTTGGAGATCTTATATAATCTAGAAGATATGTTCAAAAATTTCTGAATGTTATTAGTTTGCAAATATGGATAAATTTTTAATTTTCTGGAAAATATTTTTCATTCCAAATTAGTTCAATAAACGTCCATAAATACTTGCAAAATGGTATGACCTTTAGATATAAAGATACAAATGAAACAGAAAATTTAATACATTTTATTAAAATAGTTCTTTAATTGTATTCATCATAGATTTGGAAAGATGCAGCAGGTCAAATATTTTTCTCGACCAGTGTTGGAGCTGGTGGATTACTAACGTTGGCGAGCTATAACAAATTCAACAACAATGTTCTAAGGTAAGTCCTAAATGCCTGAAAACTAAAAGCAAGCCTTTTCAGTCATATAAAGAGCGTCGATGCAAAACTATTTTTCATCTCATCTTAATCCATAGTGATCTATACGGCTCATTAAAAGATATACTTGACATATCGTCGCATGAGAATAACTTTGTACTATCTCACATTTTTACGGAACTGAGAAATCAAGGTTTGAAAGTTTAGAGGTCTGTATCTTACTTAGTATTGCTATGTGAAACTTGATTTTTTGTATGTCACCTGGTCTCACCCTAGAGATATCTTATATGAAATATCATACCTTGAAACAATTTACAAGATCCTTTTTTTAAAATATGGAAATGGAGTTGATACAATTTCCCACCGGAATAACAGCTTATTTCTAATTTCAAATTGTCATATCTGATATCAACTGTTTCAACAAATCATCTCTCTAAGAATTGGTCATGTGACTTGTAAAACTTGGAGTTATAACAATCTTATATTAAAACAAAGTATGCCAATATGCATGTTATTTTATCTAGAATGAAAAATAATGTTTTGCTTTGTAAAAAAGTCTTCAAAAACCAAAGAATATTATTTAATAAAATAAAGAAAATTCAATTTATAAAACTTTAAAATCAATTTCTCAAATAAGTACAATTATTTCTTAATTTTGGAATCTCAGGACACCCTTCAAAAAGAATTTATTGCCTTTGAAACTAAGGCAGAAGTACAATGCATTGAAACCAATGATGCCAATACGGTTCCCCACATATTTCCCTCGGTATAAACCCTGTAGCCTAAACCTCCCAGCACATTACAATGTAGCCCCTAAGGGCCGGTCCGCTGGTCATTATCAGGTTATTTTTGATACAGACCAGTTGATTTTTTCACTGGGTATAGGAGAATAACATTGCAACTGGTCCGTAATTCCATTTTGACCAGCAGGTTTCAGATCCTTAGGGCCTAAGACATAACCAATTTTATTACATGCACATGGAAGAAATTTGAAAATAGAAAAATAAATTCTAATTCATTTTAGATTAATGAAAGTGATGAAACCTCGATTTAGGTAATCACATTTTGTTCATTGGGATGCAGCTATCATTATCCATTCATTTTCTGTTGTTTGCTACTCTGTGGAGTACAATTGGGAATTGAAGCAATTGTAGAAGTGGAGACTAAGAGTGGCTCTTTGTAAAGAAATTGAACCAATTTGTTACTTTTCCAAAATAAAATGTAGATGATCTAAAAACAATTATCCCAAAAATGCAAAAGAAAGGACAAATCTGAAAAACATACTAGTAATAAAATAACTAAAAAGATCCCAGATGTTCAGTGAAAAGCGCAAAGTAAATCATAGATGAAGAGAAAATAAAATAAGTGTTTTAAGGGACTATACTAACATAAAGATAACTCCTTATTGATATAGTGTATGGTCAGTAAAAGTTAAAGCTAGTTTAAATAGATTTAGCTTTTTTCCACAAACTATAAAACATCATTTTGAAAGAGATTTCAATAGTATACAGACAGTGATTGCCTTTGAGCAATGTAGTGCAAAATATGACAGTAATTATTTGTTTTGATTACTATATCTAGTAATCCTATTATTATGTACTCTATTTGAAGAAACAAATAAGTAGTCTTTCATTTTCAACATTTAATGATGACAGCTTCGTATATGCATTTCTATTGCATTTGGCCATTCAAACCCCTATAAGACCTGGTAGCAGGGAAGATAAAGGGTACTTTTGACTGCTCACATGATCTAATTAACTGGTCATTTGTACTTTTCATCTTCCCTGGTAGCGAGGATTTAGGTTTTTGAGGAAATTAGTAATTCTATTTCATATCATGTGGCCATGAATAATTCAATGAGCATCCATAATACAAAGAGTAATTGAGGGCGTATAATTTGAATATGCATGGGATTACACATACTGTATCATTTTATTTTTTTGATCTATAGTAATAGTTCTAAAACTAAAACATGAAAGGCCAGGCATGCAAACTGGCATGGTATTGTGTTACAAAACATTATTTAATTCTAGATACAATAACATGCATTTGGCAACCTTCGTTTTAATATAAGATTGTTATAATTCCAAGTTTTGTAAGTCACATGACCAATTCTTAGACAGTTGATTGGTTGAAACAGTTGATATCAGATATGACAATTTGAAATTAGAAATTAGAAATAAGCTGTTTGTCTGGAGATGGTACAATTTCACACTGAATTCTAGCTTAAGGTGCTATGGAAGTTAACAGGAAATGACAAAACAGGAAGTGACAATTTTTTTTGCATTTTTAGATATATTTTGAATAAAGATAACAGAGTTCTGGTTTGACCTCCAGTCAATTTAACTATTTCCACATATCATTTACATGACCAGGATCACAATGTGCATGGTCAGAATGACCCTAAACATGATAAAATAACCTTTTGAGCCCTTTGAAAGTGTGACTGAAAAAAGCTAAAAGTAGGAGCGTAGGGAAGGTCACTGAACAGAATCTTTTGAATTTTTCAGAAAATGTGCCCAATATATTGCTCTAAATGATACAATCTTTGAAAATTTGATATCATTCATATAAAAAGAAAAAAAATGAAAAAACTGATTTAAAAAGCGATCTATTTTCCTTTTTATGACCGCCATTTTTGTTTAAGATAATTTTCTAAAATTTCAAAGATTGTACTAGTTAGAGCATTATATTGGGCACATTTTCTGAAAAATTCAAAAGATTCTGTTCAGTGACTATCCCTACGCTCCTACTTTTAGCTTTTTTTCAGTCACACTTTCAAATGGCTAAAAAGGTGATTTCATCATGTTTAGGGTCATTCTGACCATGCACATTGTGATCCTGGTCATGTAAATAATATGTGGAAATAGTTAAATTGACTGGAGGTCAAACCAGAACTCTGTTATCTTTATTCAAAAAATATCTAAAAATGCAAAAAAAATTGTCACTTCCTGTTTTGTCATTTCCTGTTAAGTTCCATAGCACCTTAATGAGAGGGAATTGAGATGGGGCATGTATCTGAGATGAAAGCCTGTGATTCAAATAGTAAAATTCCATGTCTATCTCAATTTTTTTGAAAATGGCAGTTAGTACAAAGTTATTCTCACGCGACGATATGTAAGTTCACAAGTAGAGTGTGTTGGGTGTATACGTCATTCTCCTAAATAGTAACGTCACGTCGTAAAGTGAAAGCAGGTATCAATGTCACGACATACGAAAATGAAAACCAAATTGCTACTATAATTGGGACTTGAACTCTGAGCATTGAATAGCATTTTTTCTTCAGAGACGCAATACTTGCACCCTTGGGAAATTGCATCACCAGCTTTGTTGCAGGGTTTGTCGTATTTGCCAACCTCGGTGTTATGGCAAAGCAGCTTGGTGCTCAAGTAGATAACGTCACGACGGAAGGTCTGCATTGTACTCACATTTAATTAGTAATGATAATGGTTTTTAATGCATGTCTTTTAATACTTTTATTCGATAATCCTTCGAAATCTAACGAATTTCCCATTGGTGTATCAACACTTTTTAACTGATTATGTTGTCAAAAAATGAAAAATCAGAATATTTAATCGATTTAACTTTTAAAGTTTTATCATTTATCACAGTTCTGATTAGTCTGAATATCAAGATTACTTTTTTATCTCACCCTGTAGAGTAATAGGAAGGATAATTAGTTTCTTAATATTCTCAGCTTTACAATCATGTCGCTCTAGAGGTATTCAGTTAAACAAATTTTTACCTGAGAATCATGTTAACCTTGGGATGTTGACACAACCTCGAACTTCCGTTTGTCATCAATTTGGTAGTGTTAAAGTGTATAAGCCTTTCTTTATATTTAGACGAAGTTAATCTTACTTAACAACTCAAAGCTCGGTATTCGAGATCGAAAATTAAACGTTTCAACTTATAATGATTTGTATAAGTTTATCAAAATATTGTCGGCATTGACCTTTTAGTTAGTATAATAAGCAGTATTTGTTATTCAATTTTAATTCATTGATTGTTTGCGCACTTTCTTAGTTTTCCCAACACCGGCGGTCATTGACATTGAACTCTTAGTACTTGTAGGTGAAAATCTGGTTATTTGGAAAAGGACCACGGAAGGTATTGCAACAGATTTCAGACAGTCATATATGTTGGAGTTCGACTTTTTTTCTGAGAATTTAAACAACAGTTGCATATGTTGGGCCAATGCATTAACTCCAAAACAAGCCCTTATAGAGATGAACATAATTGGACTTTGAGGCAGGGATTGTGCAAACACCCAACCAAGATATTTTGTGAAAATCTGTCCTAATTTTTAGCCTTTTCCACACCTGTTTTTCAATGTTTGTCGCATCGATATGTTGCGTTTTGAGACACGATTGAAATTATAATTCATGCAGGGATTTTAAACATACCAATTATGGGTGACCAAATATAAGCTGAAAACAATGAGCTAAAAATCAGGACAACAGTTCGGAAAAACATGTTGTTGGGGTGTTCCCTGTCTCAAAGTCCAAATTATCTTATCACCTCTATGAATGTTTGATCTGGAGTTATTGCATTAATCTTACATATGCACCTGTTCAAGCCCTCAGAAATAGTCGAAATCCAACATGTGACTGTCTGAAATCTATTGCGATACCTTCCATGGTCCTTTACAGCGTCACACAAAGAATAATCATTTGAGCAAATATGTCCAGTGAAGAGAAACCCCAAATGTTCAAATATGTGGTAAAAAAGAGAAAATGAAATATGTACATGTATTGGAATGGGTTTATATACAATTGTCACTGATAAAGTCATTTAAAGTGCTATTGAAAGACACAGTCCATGTAAAGGCTCTATTATAGGCTAATACAATAATGATACAAATTCAACTCTCTGGAAGCCAGTTGATTACCTAAATACGAAGTTGTTAAAAATGCGAAATTGCCCTCCGAAATATTGCTTTTCTCTTTCAACTTTTTTATCACATTTACACGAAGACTTCAAGGAGGATTGGCTCCCAGAATGCAACATCGATATTTTTGTCATGTATGGATTCATGGCCTTGACCTTATCATCACGTAGTCATATCGTGCTTACAAAATTCAAAATCAAAACGTCCGCCTCTTTTCATTTCAAAAATCAAAACATACAAGAAGTGATCAGGAAATCAGCTCAAATCTTTTGGATCGGTGATTTTGAATTTATAGTCAGTTATAGTATCAGAAAATAACGACATTTTCAATTTAGTGTTGTCGTGTATCAAGGTCAACGTGGAATATCGAGTTGAGACCCTGGGAGTCAATGCTACATGCGAAGACTTCTAATAAATACCCGGGATACAGATTAAAACATTTATAAGTGTATATTTAATGTCTATTTATTGATTTTTATTTTAAAAATGTATTCAAACATTTTGCTGTAAAGCATCAGAGACCTCAAAATAGAGCAATGCAAAAATAGTTAACAGATGACTAAAGGGTGTTCAAACTCAAAAAAATACAACCAGTCCAATAAAGTTTGGGATCGAAGGAATTCCTTTTTTAATCGGGTCCCTACCCAACCAACAGAAATCGACTTTGAAACGGCTGTTGGTAAAGATCAGTTTCGTTATGTTAAACTTTCAGGGCCTGGGTTGATCTTTGTAGTCTACCCAAATGCGTTCTCACTGATGCCTGTCACCCAACTATGGGCAGTGTTGTTCTTTGGAATGGTTATAACTCTCGGATTGGATTCAGTGGTAAGACAAAGCACCCCTAATAATAAAATGAAACACCCCTCCTGCAGGACCATACGAAGCAGCTGGGGCTTGTACAAGGTTCTTCACTCTTAAAAACGATGTCACAAAGAATCTTTTTTTGTTTTTTTTATATTGAAATCAATGTGACATATTTACAGGTTGTAGTGGCTATGACCCCCAAGAGGGAGTATTAGGTGCCACATAATGGTATTTACAATGATTTGTGAAATATTATAAGAAGTGAACATGTAATTGTGTAAAGTATGATATTGTACATAATTGAGAAAATAAACTGATTTAATGGAAATGATCTCTTCTACAGTACTTCACCTATTCGCCTCGCTTCTATCGATGCAACTTCCCATCCCTTCAACTCTTCCTCTCGCTCATCCTTGACCGGCAGTATCATTTATCGCACTGTTTATTTTGTTAGTTTGGAGGTATAGAGATGATTGTTACTGGTATAGTGGACCATATACCCCGCAGTAGACCTTACAAAGCTCTGGTACTAATAGGAGTCTGCGTTGTTGGCTTTCTGGCAGGAATTGCTGTAACAACTCCTGTAAGTTGTCTTGAAACTTTTGCAAATTGTCTTAAAATTATGTAGGTTTTCAAAAAATGGTTATTTGTTTAAAATTTAAAATTTGGGATACATGTATGGTACCCGTTCCCCATCATACCAAACGAGTTCTTAAATCGTTCTATACCGCCCTGAAAAAATCTTAAACTGAGCAATTGTCGGGGTGAAACGTCTGCCCTTAAATACGATGCTAAATCGTTCATCAACAGAGTATTTAATCATGAGAACCTATTGCAAACTTATCAGTTTTCTCAATAATGTTTTTTTAAAGGGAGGTCTATACGTGATCCAACTTCTCGATGCCAATGTTCCTATATGGGGACTCATGTTGAACTCTCTACTGACGTGTTTTGCAGTGTCCTGGATATACGGTGACTATTTCTTATTTTTGTATTGAACGTATCGGACGTTCCATTTTGTCACTCAAACGGATTGTTTTCTACCGTCCTTGGCTTAATTTTTCTTCATGAACAGGGAAAACAGGATGTTCTTTAAGGGGAATGCAATACATGTATCTAACTATGTGAAAATTCGAATATTTGTTTGTTTTTTCATCATTTTTTCAAAATGGTACGTATTTATTACAAGTGCCTGGCCAAAATTGTAGTCACACGTTTTTAAAACAACGTGTACGCGAACGTGTGGAATTATGGTTCTCTGGGGATTCGTCTTCCGCTTCAAAGTATTTATTTGCCCGATTTAGAATAGGAATAATGATGATTCAATAATTGTAATTATGTTCCTGAAAATAATTGAGAAGGGACATTATTCCTAATTTGGATCATGTTCACGTTCACGTACGTTCTCAAAAAAACGTGTAGCTTAACCTTCGTTATACTTCTATTAAGGTACAAATCGATTCCTTCGCGATATTCGAGTGATGATTGGCTGGCCATATACAAAATGCGCCTGGATATCATGGAATATATTCTGGTATTTTATGTGGAACTTCCTTTGTCTTGCGGGTATAATAGTAAGTTTAATGAAGACCTACGGATCAATATCGTAATATAATATAGTTTCACTTTCACTTCGTTCACTTGCTTTGAAGGAATTTTAAGGAGTTTATACCCCCGCCCTTTTTACAGCAAAAACATAATAGATTATACATAGTGTGTAATACTATTTAGAGGAAATTCAAAACATAAGAACGTGTCTTTTTCAGTTTATCTTTGTATTCTACATACTAGAGTACGTCCCTTTGAATCTGGACAAAGTGTATGTGTATCCTCCGTGGGCACAAGGTATTGGTTGGTTAACTGCCATGGCCCCTGTAGCGTTTATACCAATTGTGGCTATCGCCCAGTTCTTTCAATTCAAAGGTTCCTTCCTTGAGGTAAGTAATGTCTCAGTGACATTTGATCTCTGGCAACCATAGCGGTCGTAGCTTCTCAAAATCTATGAAAAATAGCAGCATAAAATATAGGAATGAGCAGTACGATGGAGACTTTCTATGTCGATTTTGTGAAGCTACGGCTGCCGTACTGCTACCGTAGAGCAAATGTGACTGAGTCTTTTGGGCGGTTTTACCACCATCTTCTGTAATTATTAGCATATCACCTAATGAAGGATGGTCCGTTTCTCAATCGTGACTATCTTACGGTTTATTCTCATTTACACGCCATATGCATAGTACAAGTTCAACTTTTAGTTGTTTTTTGTATTTCAACATGACGTAATCTAGCCTAAATCAGTTTTACCTGCATACAAATGCCTGACTTCCGCCGCGTTGTATGACGAAATAATAAAAGAATTAAAATGACGGATATCGATCAAGATTTATGAAAGAAATAGCTTTTACTTAGCTAGCATTCGCTGGTATCAACTGCCGGTTGTCGGCTAACGAATTGATTGCTATCTTATGCCAAGCTCATTTAAACATGAATATAGAAGCAGTATAGATCGTTTTCATATCTAAATGAGTTGGTCATAAAATAGCCATGAAATCGTCAGCCGACAGCCGGCATTTGATACCAGTGAACGCTAGCTCAATTGTCCCGAGAAGCCATCAATTCTTTTTTCAAATGGTTATTCTAAATTACATAACCAAATGTAAAAGCAACAAAGAACCCTGGATATGTTAAGCGGTTTACTTTGTAAAATTAACAACGTAATTGTCGAAGTTTCGTATAAATGGTTATTTACTCAATATGTATGAACAACTGAAGTCAAAATCAAATATTAGAATTGAATGAATGGTCTTCCGCACGTTGATACATCGATCATCATATTTCATACCTCACAATTCTAAACTATACCCTTGAATCAATTAAAGGTATAAGTGTTATGCAATATACCCGGATGCCATAGCGATGGTACAAAACGTTACTAACAACAAACAGAGCGTTGCTAATACTTTCGACACATACTTTCTGATCTCTATTCTGCTGAACAAACCTAATACAGTCGTTATTTGTTTAAATAAATGATTCCAATATAATCTATTAACATTACTTTTGGATTCTTCGAAATGATGATTTAAGAATATGACATGCTTACATTGTACTATTGTATAAAATATCAATAAAATCGCTCATTCACTTTTTGAGTTTCGTAATATGACACCACACAAAGATAAATTACGTAAGACTTTTTGACGTAAAACGTCACAAATCAGGCGCCATAACAAGGCGTATTAATATTTCATGGGACCAACAAACCAATTGGGAAAAACGTAGCAACAATTTAAACATTTATTATCGATGGGTATTTGTGTTGTCAAACGTTTGAAGGGTAAAGTGATTATTTTAATGATTTCAGAACCATGTTCAATAATGTATGCTTATAATTACAGAAAATGAAAGCGCTGATAAAGCCAACTGCAAAATGGGGACCAAAACTTCCAAGACATCGACAACTTGTGACGTATGTGAAGAATTTTGATCCCGATCCGTATATGAAGACTAGTGGCAGATCTACAGCCAAAGGACTTGATAACACTACATTTTAACTATTATATGCTCACTTCATGTCTTTGCATATGTAGTTAATAAGTAATATATGTGATCATGCATACATACAAAAGTTTTATCGAACTCCCATCAGTGTCTCGATATGTTGGAGATGGCTCTCTGGATGAAATAATATTAACTTTAACATCATTTTACGGTGATGGTCAAAGGTCAAGGTCAAATGTTTGACCTTATTTACTCTATCTAAGTACAGTGTAATACAATGGTACCAATTTGAAATTAATCTGAGCAATTTGACTTGTTGACCCTTTTGACCTTTTCAGGGTCAGATTCTAAATTCGAAAATTTTGTAATCGGGGAATTTCTTACTTTATACAGTATTTGCAAAAAAGTTGAATGAACATCATACTTTTCATATTTTGCGCCACTCATGTGTGCCCCACAATATTCAGGTTATGGTAAATTAAATTGAATGCTGTTCCAATGGTGTATAATGTTCTACACACATATGGCTTGTATAAATCTGCAAAATGAAATGTTCCACTTTTTGGATCACCCTGTACTATAAACATTTAGTAAAATACAATAAATATAAAATGTGTATCCATTACTATTATCAAATACTTAATGTTTAATTGCGATTATTATTCTTTATCAAAATGGAAGTCTAAGTAATCATATTCAAGAAAATACGAAAATTTGATAAACTGGAAATACATTGATATACAAAACTATTCAAATGTAATATCGTATTATATAATGTGTCATAATAAATTCAGGTAGTAATCAAACAGCACTCAATCAGCAAAATCCGCACATTCCGGTAAAAAGTCGTGAGATTTTGGAAATTTTTTTGAAAACGAATGCCTTTTCTTGTAAGTTCGTCGACCTAGCTTATTCTTGTTAGTATATTCAGCTAATGGAATGTGTTTCACATCATCTGTGATTTTTTTACCTGAGACTTGAGGTAAGCTGACGTCAGCCATGTATGAATAGGGTAGGTAAATATGTGATTCGACTTAATATATCATAAAACAGGTGGGTTAATTATAGTAAATTGTGATTTAGATGCACTTTTATGACCTACCTGTACTTACTCCCAGAGTGCGATTTTTACCCGGATCGTGCGAATTTTGCAAGAAGGTGCTGTTTGATTACTACCTGTGTTAGAAGAATGCGAAAATAGTTTAGTCGTTGAAATAACAGTAATTGATCGGTTTCTAAATACAGCTGATATTGACATGCGTCAAATATGACGTAATTGAGAGACTGACACACTTAACACAAAATAAAGTGCAATGACTCATTGGCCATCTCAACGAAATGAACACAAAAATCAATACATAGAATATCGAACCAATGGTCTTGAAGTATTTGATCTAGGAGTGCAAATACTATACCGTAAAATAAACATTATTTTTAATTGAATGTGAACTTTCTGAATTTGCTATACTAACTTACTTATGGGTCAATGTCAATAATGCTGAATCCCTTTTTCTTGATCACCAATATTATGCAAATGTTTGAGCTTACTTTTTGTTGAGTTGACCCTGGTGTTGTCCTACACATAGGAAAACTTGAACTCGATGGTTGAGTTGCGCATACGTCAGGAATATAGGCAGCTGTAGATCTAGAATTAACCTATTGGACACTGCACGAACAAAGTATGTATATTTACTTATTTGCTTTTTTATTTGCTTTGATTAATGGGGACATCGCCATTTCAATCAATCGTAGGTATACGCGTTTTTCATCATTTGGAGGATCACATTTCAGAATAATATAATTTACAATTTGAAGATATTCAAGGATTTATCCAGGTTTGATAGAACAGGGACAAACCTGGAACTTGGACTTGAATTAATTTAAAGTGACACTTGTATAGAATATATAGTAATCATGAATGGCTTCATTTATGTTAAGGGTGACCTGGAAAAGGTATGCTGCGGTTTAGAAACCTAGCGTTCGGTTGGACTAACTGGTTCAGGAGGCAACCCACAATAATTCCAAGGGAGGAACGTATCCACATGGATCATTCGAGCCAAAGTCCACATTTGAAGAAAGTGCCGAATACCTGGCACAGGTTTGCCGAACAAGTATCTGATAATAGTCTCATAACTAATCCAAGAGTCGAGGTACCACAATACACCGCCCCGCTATGCATTCTGCTGACGTGGATTACGGCAAAACCACGCCACGTCGAAAAATACAAACAAATGTACGAATCCCGAGGTGTCAGTGTCAAAGAGGTGAAATTTGGTGTTTGGAACGCAGTGTGGCCGAAAAGTACGATACCCATCGCAGAAACTCTCTTAGAGGATCTTCTTAGCGAGCACAAAGGGCGTCCACTATTGTTTCATGTTTTTTCTGGTGGGCTTTGTACCTTCCAAAGTGTGGTCCGTTTAGTTCAGCAAAAATCTCGTTACGGCCCTATCCGCGACAATATCTGTGGGCAAGTGTTCGACAGCGTTACAATAGGTGACGCTCAGATATACTCCGAGGGCGTGATACCAGGCATGACATCAAGCCCCATCTTACAACCCATACTTAGATTTATTTACAAATACTACGTCATACTAACATATAAACACACATTAAATTACATGAACAAGGGCGTTAAAATGCTCGAGGCTGACCCATTCCAAGGACCAACATTATTTTATTACTCTAAGAACGACAACGCCATAGATACAAAAGCACTGGGTGAGTTGATTGATAATTGGAAGGTGATAAAGAATGGAGATTTGCTGGTGAAAATGTGGGAGGACTCGCCACATGTGCAGCATCTTCGCTACAATACCGATGACTATATATCGTTCTTTGACAGTTACCTCGCAAAGGTTGTCAAATTCTATGATAAGAAAGTTGGACTAAAACCTTCAACACGGAAGACAATTGCCAACCAGTACGAGTAGCTTTGATGATTGGACATGTTCTTAATTATTCATATGCTACACGCTATCTTGGTTCATGCTGTGATTTTGAAACCCTTATTTTGATCCTGTGTGGAGATGAATACACGGATTCAACAGACATGGATCAATCATGGCCAAATATGGTCATGAAATATAGAAGAGGGACAGTATTTTACGAAGGGCTGCTGGTCCGTTACGCCGCTTTCAATATCACGGCTGAATGAGGGTGAAGGTTTGAGCAGCTAGGTAAGCCCAGACTCTTTAGCCAACGCTGTGGTTTCTATTTTTCACCATTGGCCAAAAGCTTACATTTTGCTCTCTTTGACTATCTTGTTACGGTTGACGGGTTGATACGTGAATGCAGTGTAGGCTCTAAGGGGCGGTCGGCTGGTTACAAAGTTACTTTTGGTACTGGCTAGATGATTTTTTTTCACTAGGTATAGGAAAATAAAGTTGCAACTGATCCGTAATGTCATTTTGATCAGCAGGTATCCTTAGAGCTTACACTACGCGGATGGGCCCTAAGCAATGTTTACTTACGGAGTAAGGCAAGATGTCAAATATCTACCTCAATAAAAACAATTTACAATAAGTTTATACACCGTTGCTCATATTCTTGGAATAAAGGTCACTTCAAAAAAAATCGGTACTCTTTCTTTGTACTAAATATAACAATTGCAATCGTTTTAATTAAATTAAGTAATCAAAAATGTTGATTCACTGACACTTGAGAACACTTATCAAAAGTAAATTGGGAAATATTTCAAGCATATGAGCAGCGGTGTACCATGACGTCATAGTCTAGCTGCAAGACCTTGTGACACCCCCCCCCCCTTCCACTACTTGACTACACACCTTCTCTCTTATGGGGAGGTATTAGTAGTTGGGGCTCGCTCTTGGCCTTGTAGCTAAGACTAACCGTTACGCAGATGCCGAACTATTGGAAACGATTTGTACATAACTATAAATATTGTAAGTAGTAATTTTCCAGCCCTGTCAATATAGACAGATAATATTTTATGTGGTTTATTAAGTATAGTTATCCATATTTAAAGAAATTAGATGTACATAAAATGATCATTCTATATGGGGTTTAGGACCTCTTCGCTTAGAAGAATATTTTTAAAAATACTGTTTTGATTTTAATTAAGGATTTAAGCCCTGGACTCATACCACTGAGGTGTTGTTTCCAAACCTTTGCATGACGGCGCAGCGGGAATGCAAAGTCTAGGAAACAACGCCTGAGTGGAATGAAGCAGCTACAATGCATTGAGTCTTGGGCTTATATTCTTTCACACATTTTAATTTTTTCTACAAAATCATCCAAAAGGAACGAATTCACTAGAAGAACACATTTTCAATGAAATTTTTTGCAAGGGACAAGTTGGTAAGTCATCAAATCCAATGTGAAAAGTCCATTCATTACCGTGACAACTGTTTAACTAGTGACCTTACATGTGTTCCTGATATTTCACACGCTGTTCATTATGTGAATACTCTGTTCTGATTGGCTGGAATCGGACACACCTTGCCTAGCTATATGTGAATGTGGAATAATACATTGAATATAAACTATAAAGCATGATTTATTAATAAGATACTATCCGAGTTGAAATAATTGTCCGAGAATTTAAGATGCTTTAGGAAAATGTCAACTATAAATAAATACACATCTTTGAGAAAATATACACATTGGAGTATATGATAAATAGATCATTTTAAGTAAGTCCAAGATATTGTGATTATCCCTTGACCAATATGATAAATCTGGTCTCGAGACCGATCCTCGTGCAGATAAATGTTTTGAGGCCTTGGGCCGCGGGATGTTCACAATATTCCGAAACGCATATAACCCCCCTATCACACCAAACTAGTTCTTACCCGTTCTTGCCAGTCCTACGAAAAAGTCGGAAAACGGGCTCAATCTGGCTGTGGTCGGGAAATATGTCTAAAATAATTAGCTACTTCGTTCATAAACAGTCTTCAATACGTCCATCTCATTCGCAGTTCGATCAGGTCGCACCACGTCGGTGTGCAACGTCGTGCAACAGCCAGATTGAGCCCGTTTTACAACGTTTTCGTAGGACTGGCAAGAACGGGTAAGAACTAGTTTGGTGTGATAGAGGGGTAAGATATACGTGGGCATCGTCAGATATGTCCTCTAAAGGCAAGTCAACCACCTCGCCAAAGTATAGTAGAAAATGCAGACGTGTTTTTCAGTTGAAAGAGTAAAAATCATCATATGGAGGTATTATTTTCTCATTCCACACCAGTTTAATAATTTTACCTTGCCTTTTTGGATCCTGGCAACGTCCCGTGTAGTCTCTATTTAGTTATAGTCACATGTATTTTTTACTTGTATGCGTTGTAGTTCTTGTATTTGTACTTGTATTTGTAACTTAGTTCTTGTATTTGTAAAATCTACGTGTTGTATTTAATTTCTACTAGTCATACATAGCTTTCACCGCGATGTTATTTCGCAAAAGTTTAAACATTTATATTTGTATATAAAGTTGGAATATTTGTATATTTTTATGTTTGTATCGAATTATATTTGTTTAGATAACAATAATCACTGTTCCACACCTGGAAGACTCTAACTGCTGTTGGCTTCATTCAAAATGGTTGCCGAAATTCTTTCGTTTTCGAAAAGTGAAGCCGTTTTCTTTAAAATTCTCTAATATTGAAGGTGTTTTGGCATTCATGTGTGGTTGAATACAACCGGAGTTTTATTAACTTTTGGAATCAAGATTCATCTTAGTTAAGCTGAAATCGGAGGTTTATCGAAAACGAAAGAATCTCGGCAACCATCTTGAATGAAGCTAACTGCAGTTTGAGTCATCCAGCAGTGGAACACAGTAATAATGTATGCATTGATATGTATAAGTTGTTCTGATATGTAAAATGTATAAATACAATGGTTGTTCAAAAGGTTTTGCACATCTATATCTAATTATGAAAATAATGAACCAATCTTGTTCAAAGTTGGTAGGTATGTGCCCTCATCTTATCCCCTTACACTATCAAGGTTTCGTGTATATACTACTCAACATTCTACGGTTGCTATAGTAACCAAGGTGATGACGCAATGGTCCATTTCATTTTGTAAAAAGAAAACTAGTTTTATATAAGAAACAATCTCTTGAGAAGCTTTCGTGCAAAACTTTTCGAACGACCCTAATATATAACATCAAGTTAAAGGCAGAATAAAATGAAAAAAAAGGCAAGCAACATGAACAGTTGACCAACCAATGTGTGTCTTACAACCTCAAATATAATATCTCACAGATATTTTAGCACTTATTAAATGAGTTAATTGAGTATAAGTGAGATCGATAAAGTATTGGTCTATCGAGGAATATGAAGTTCTCAAAGATAGAGTTAAGAATCCTTAACAGTAAACTATGGACAGTTAGTTAAATAATTTAAATACATCATTCCAACCCCCAGGAACAAGATTAAATAAGTTTGGCTTTTTAAAATAACAGGCCAAAGCCATAGTTTGATCGTCATCTATCCTGCCATTCTTCAACCAGTCCTCCAAGACAGCTTTATAGAGTTTATGATACGTGTGTATGGCATTCTTAGATCCTCCGAAAAAGCCGCCATTAAGAGCAGGAGCTACCGACATCTTGTAAAGTCTATTGATCGCGGGTTTATAGACATCGGTAGGGTATAGGTTTATATATGAGATCATATCGGTTAGAATGTTGCATGGGGCCCAGGGACAGTTTTCGGGCGGAAAGATACTGCTATTACCGTGGCCATAACCAGCGTCCATCCAAAAGAAATAGTCAGAATGAAATGTGTTTCGAAGTGTCGTTTCATACATGATTGAGAATTTTGAACTCATCAAGAGGTTGTATAATGCTGAAAATCCTTCCGGATGATTCAAGAGTCGATTGTTCAATTTAAACTCCTTTGATCCCATGATAGTTTCAATCGCAGTTAAATAGCGATAAAATGTCAAATTCTTCCATTCAGTGACAATCACTTCAGTCTTGTGCTCCTTTCCTCGTCGATGTTTTTCAACAAAGTAGCGCCCTCTTTCCTCGACGTAAAACACTAAATTCACGTCAAGCTTAAGGACATTTTGAGCGAAATTGAGATAATCATGGTAGGTCCGTTTGAACGAAGACCAACGTTTTCTACCTATATCAAACAGACCAGTAACTATGGTGACGCTCTTCCCTGAAAATACAAAAGAAATGGATACAAAATAATACTTCCATTCCATTCTGTTTGTAAATACTTTTAAGAAGCAAATAAAGTGTTGTATAACAGCTTGATTTATTTCAACAGTTACTCCATATATTATGTTAACAAGGCAGAGAATGTATCTATAGTAGTTTAGCGCTATTCTTAACCATTGTTTACAGTGATTTACAAATATTGCTGTTTTACACTTGAACCGACACAACTTGTTCACGTATCAGTATGGCTGCACTTTCGAAGAGTTCTTTTTTTAGTTTTCTCCGTTATAATCATCTTTATTCTTCACGACTGACACCAGAAGTAACGATGGATATAACTGTCCTGCTCTAAATTCACCTTCTCGGGGACCTAGTAACCATTACCTATACACTCGATCGGCCAAATAAACAGTAAAATAGGAGAATTAATCCACAGAGGACCATCATTCTACACATTCACGTTTTCACGTTATCTAAACCTCCCTATCAATATAAGGCAACTTGAAAAATTGACACAGTTAGTTATAGACATATCTGAAAAACATCTTTGTAATGTACCTCGATTTTAATGTAAAGTTTAAATTTAAATGTTTATCTATAGACTTTCATTCTGTCAGCCTGGACTAAACATTTTCGACAATTGAGTCCTAGTAATATTTCAATTATTCTTATCATATACCCTTTGCAATGCATTCGTTCGACTTCACTTCTTAAAAGACAGCTTCGTCTTCAGTTTATAACTAGACTGCGTTCAGGGTACTTATCATATTAAGCATACGTGTAATGATTTCTGGACAGTCACTATTTTCTGTATTTTACAATTTGATTCGTAATCTGAGGTACCTTGGTGCATCGGTATTCCCGTGGTTATCCACATTTCCTACCAATTTAGGTAAAAATGGTCAATATGTATACGAACTCAAATATGAACTTAATGACATCTTTGTATTTTGTGTAAACGGTATTTTTATGCCCGCAACTTAGCGTTTTTTTTACTTTATTTGCATTGGTTTGAATTATCTGATTCATGTAGGATATTGGCATTTTCGAGATATTTATCATTTTTGTGGAGTCGGATATTTTGACGGCAGTTGTTCTAACAAATTTTCAGACCTAAAGTACAGTAGCAAATAAGTATTTGATAAATAGTTATCATCATTGTATGCAAGTTGAGTTTCATAACTGAACTTGTATTCTCATGGCAATCGCAGTTGGCTGACATTTTAAAGATAACCTCGACTTGCTCTTGTAGCCTATTGTCCCAGATGTTAAGCAATGTGTGTAAACTAGTAAATTAGTGATAAGTAATAAGTAGTAATGCCAAATACGCTTGTTATACGCCTTGGTGTTTTAGCATAAAAATAGAAATCTGGAATACAATGAATCATATTTAGAAAAAATACCAGTACGATTTATATTTTCATCTGTAAGGTTGAGTACCCACCCTGCTGTCTGCAACAATCACATTCACATTTATGCTCTTCAGTTTTGTTTTTTGCTTGTCGTACAGTTTCTGTGAGATCAGTATCGTCCACTCTGCTTTGCTTGAGATCAATTGAGTCATTGGCATTGTCATGTTTGAGATCATTAGTATTTTCCTTTATATTCAAATTGTCCTTTGAATCCGCATCTTTTCGGGAATTTCCGTCTACATTTTCTAGATGTGTTAAATTCGCAGACTGGTTATTAGACCGTGAAATTACATTAATGGTGACATCATCAATTTTTGCGTACTTTATTGACGACGGTTTGCCGTCAGATCTTTCAGTTATTCCACTTTGATTAATATCATTTCCATGAAGAAGTTTATCCGTGAAACGTGTATTGATGGTTCTTTGAGAAACTTCTTCGGTGGATGCTGAAGTAATTCCATTTAATATTTGGAAAAGCAGCAATTTGAATATCCATACGAATGACATAATTAATAGGATCCTACTAAATGCTAAACCTTGTTTTTCTAGTTCACATTTTGTCCTTAAATATCTCCTGAAATATTTTTTACAAATGTAAATCACTCGTTCAATCATTAAGCCACTTGAGAAATCCTTGAGGATATAGAAACAGTGCTAATAGATTATCGCGATTCAAATTGCTACCTTGCAGTATAACAAGTGTTTGTATTAAACTACAGACCGCATTAAATGTGAAGAATTTCCCCACTTTGCGTTTATCACCAGCTCGTTATCGTTAAACACAAACGTAGGAAATGCTTACATACACAGTGAAATTCATGTTAGAATAGACCAAGTTGAATTTGATAAAATTAATTATTGTATTTTTCAAGCATGGGTCCAGTTGGATCAGGTTCGATATTTTATGACTACATTAACCTGTAAATCGTCTACTGCATGTAATTAACATATTATAGGTTCCACCTTGATCATATACGTAATAAAACAACCTCTAATGGCATTTTACCATTAACCTTTGACTTTTATTTTTGTTAAATTGACGACCTGTTATCATCAATATTGTTAAATGAAGAATTTCCCACCGCGGGTAAAAGGTTTTACCATAAAAATATTTCAATTAAACTAGTATGTGTATTTTCGATAAATCTACGTCATTGCTCCAAGATATCCTCCAGCACTTATCCCTTCCATTTGTGGTATTTTTAATGGTCGCTTTAATTTTAAACACATATTCCATCCACACTTCAAAATACTTAATATTTTCCATGCTATATCACTACTGTATTTTCAGAAACATTTGAATTTGATACAAAACGTTAGCTGTATATAAGAAAACTGCATGTATTCTTGTCGTTGTATCTTCTTTAGATATAACACATGCGGATCCTATCTTTTTATGATCAAATTAGTAAATATCGGTATTTGCGGTATTTTTCATCTTCAACTTCCTTCCAGTAGTTACATACAGCAGTTTTACATATTGGAATAACACAAGATACAACGGAAGCTGAACTGAAGACACGCTGTTCCTATCTTCCACAATATAAAAATAATTTGTTACAAACAAATGTTTTTAGCTTATCGCTAATCTGTTTGTAAACAAAAGGGCAGTGAGTTGGAATGCTATGGTGAGAACTGTCATTTGGAACGCGGAAATGTTCAGGAGTACACGGAATCAGCAGCCAGTGAAAAAGCGTGACGGGACCGGAGTTGGCCAATCAATGAACCATTTTAAAAACGAATACCTTTTTGTAGCTTCTAGTCGTAGGCTAGTTTGCTCATGATAAGAGTACGTAACGTAGATGCATTGGGAGCACACGAATTCACCATGGGTTTTACGGTTTCTTTCAGTGCTTTCGAAGTCGTGTTTTCCTTTTCATACTTTTGATTCGCACTAAAAGATCTAGAGTTGAAAAAGATTCATTGCATCAAGCGTCTGAATTAAACAATAAATCTTAAGGCTTGACTAGTTTTCACATGCCTCTGCTGAATCTCCTGAGAATCGCATGAGACTAAAATGCACCTGTACTAAATCACTGGACGAAATGCTGTGAGATTTATGGAAATGGGAATTTCCCAGAATTCAAAGATGAATTAAAACAGCTATTGTCTTGTTTGATATAAATGTAAATTGTGAAGAAAAACATCATCGTCGATCATTCCGAGAAATAAACAAAACTCACTCTAGGTGAGTTTTAGTATCAACATAGAAAAAGACATACACAAAATCTTTAAAACATTACATCCCATTCAGATCTGATTATTAGTCCCGACCCCGACAAATGTTTTTCACAGATCGGGATATGATGAATCGAAGTTACACTGTCACGTAATTTTATAGGGCTCGCGGGATATTCACGAAGTCAAACACCTTTATCCCGTATGAGCACTTTGTAGCACTGAGCTACGGGACAGTCAGGTTTTCAAACCCACTGTCCCGTACCAGCGCTTGGTAAAAAAATTGGCTGCGGGATAAAGTGATTTCAAAACTTGACTAATGCTGATCAAAGTATATGCTATCAAGCCATCACATACATGTATCTCTATGTAATTACCATACTACATTAACCCTTGCAAAAAATTCCATTTTTCATCTTTGTACTGAATTATATCAACATCAGTCTTTTATCTTTGAAATGTTGCTAAAGTTTATTGGGAGGGGTGGCATGTACACACTTGATTCAAAATGCTATCGTTGTGTGTGAGGGGGGGGGGCATCTCCAGAGTTGACTCACATCATGGTCTATAAGAATCACAACTGTCACAAATCATCATTCCATCTGGTATCATTTAAATATCCTTGAATATGATTTGCAGTATGTACATAAATCCTTGTGTGCCATCCTGTATCATATATTATGCCTATTGTTAATGTTGCATATGTCTTTTTATTTTTTAATCAGCTAATATATATGTATATAAACACTGGTGAAGTAATGTGGTCATTCCTCAAGCCCTCCATATCATTTATCATCCTAATTGTTCATATGTCAACAGCTCCTTCCAGTGAATTAAATAAAAGTTGTTCTTCACGATAAATACCGGTGAAGTATTGTGGCAATTCCACATGCAATCTGTTTTTCCATCTATTCCCTGCTGTTATTCCACCATATTCTATCTATATGTTTTTGACATGCTGATTACCCATGCCATACATCCTGAAATAAGCAAATAATATTTAAATTATTTTCTTTTCTGTATTGTGCCTTTTGTTCATTTATCATTCACTTATGTCCAGTAAATTGAATAAAGTACTAGAAATATGCAAACTCCATAGTGCAGTAAATGCCAAAGAACACTAAATTCATGAATCTGTATGTCACATCATAATATTTATCATCTACCCTACCCTTGATTTGCAAATATTAAACACAAACATTAAAATGTTACATGTATATCAGAATATTCACCAATTAAAGTATTTGGGTGACCATTTGTACTAGATCATTGGTGTGGCGGGGGGGGGGGCACGATGGGTGCAAACCCTCTTCCCAATAATCAATAACAAAATGGCTCCATTACTTTTCAAGTAAGAATAAAAAGAGTAAAAAATGGTGGTCATTTTGAAAAATGGCTGCCTTTTACCAAAAGTGTCAATAGACAGTGTGCCATGCTTATAGTATTCACATACCAAATATGAACAAAATCGCTCCACTACTTTTCAAGTTATAGTAAAAAATGTAAAAATGGTCGCCATTTTTCAAAATGGTCGCCTACTACCCAAAGCGTCATTAGACAGTGTGCCATGCTTATAGTATTCACATATAAAATATGAACAAAATCGCTCTACTACTTTTTGAGTTATAGTAAAAAATGTAAAAATGGTCACCATTTTTCAAAATGGTTGCCTACTACCCAAAGTGTCATTAGACAGTGTGCCATGCTTATAGTATTCACATATAAAATATGAACAAAATCGCTCTACTACTTTTTGAGTTATAGTAAAAAATGTAAAAATGGTCGCCATTTTTCAAAATGGTCGCCTACTACCCAAAGTGTCATTAGACAGTGTGCCATGCTTATAGTATTCACATATAAAATATGGACAAAATCGCTCTACTACTTTTTGAGTTATAGTAAAAAATGTAAAAATGGTCACCATTTTTCAAAATGGTTGCCTACTACCCAAAGTGTCATTAGACAGTGTGCCATGCTTATAGTTTTCACATATAAAATATGAACAAAATCGCTGTACTACTTTTTGAGTTATAGTAAAAAATGTAAAAATGGTCGCCATTTTTCAAAATGGTCGCCTACTACCCAAAGTGTCATTAGACAGTGTGCCATGCTTATAGTATTCACATATAAAATATGAACAAAATCGCTCTACTACTTTTTGAGTCAGTATAGTATAAAATGTAAAAATGGTCGCCATTTTTCAAAATGGTCGCCTACTACCCAAAGTGTCATTAGACAGTGTGCCATGCTTATAGTATTCACATATAAAATATGAACAAAATCGCTCTACTACTTTTTGAGTCAGTATAGTAAAAAATGTAAAAATGGTCGCCATTTTTCAAAATGGTCGCCTACTACCCAAAGTGTCATTAGACAGTGTGCTATGCTTATAGTATTCACATATAAAATATGAACAAAATCGCTCTACTACTTTTTGAGCTATAGTAAAAAATGTAAAAATGGTCGCCATTTTTCAAAATGGTCGCCTACTACCCAAAGTGTCATTAGACAGTGTGCCATGCTTATAGTATTCACATATAAAATATGAACAAAATCGCTCTACTACTTTTTGAGTTATAGTAAAAAATGTAAAAATGGTCGCCATTTTTCAAAATGGTCGCCTACTACCCAAAGTGTCATTAGACAGTGTGCCATGCTTATAGTATTCACATATAAAATATGAACAAAATCGCTCTACTACTTTTTGAGTCAGTATAGTAAAAAATGTAAAAATGGTCGCCATTTTTCAAAATGGTCGCCTACTACCCAAAGTGTCATTAGACAGTGTGCCATGCTTATAGTATTCACATATAAAATATGAACAAAATCGCTCTACTACTTTTTGAGTCAGTATAGTAAAAAATGTAAAAATGGTCGCCATTTTTCAAAATGGTCGCCTACTACCCAAAGTGTCATTAGACAGTGTGCCATGCTTATAGTATTCACATATAAAATATGAACAAAATCGCTCTACTACTTTTTGAGTCAGTATAGTAAAAAATGTAAAAATGGTCGCCATTTTTCAAAATGGTCGCCTACTACCCAAAGTGTCATTAGACAGTGTGCCATGCTTATAGTATTCACATATAAAATATGAACAAAATCGCTCTACTACTTTTTGAGTCAGTATAGAAAAAATGTAAAAATGGTCGCCATTTTTCAAAATGGTCGCCTACTACCCAAAGTGTCATTAGACAGTGTGCTATGCTTATAGTATTCACATATAAAATATGAACAAAATCGCTCTACCACTTTTTGAGCTATAGTAAAAAATGTAAAAATGGTCGCCATTTTTCAAAACGGCCGCCTTCAACCAAAAGTGTCATTAGACAGTGTGCCATGCTTATAGTATTCACATACCAAATATGAACAAAAACCCTCCACTACGTTTTGAGGTACAGTAAAAACCATTAAAATGGCAGCCATATTGAAAAATGGCAGCCTTCCACCAAAAGTGTCATTAGACAGTGTGCCATGCTTATAGTATTCACATACCAAATATGAACAAAATCACTTCACTACTTTTTGATTTATAGTAAAAAAAAAGTAAAAATGGTGGTCATTTTTCAAAAATGACAGTCAGTGACATGGTATGATACATGATATGACATTGAGTGCCATGGTATGTTACAAATATGATAGTAGATGACATGGTATGTTTCAAGATATGTCAATGAGTGACATGGTGTTACAAGATATGACAGTGAGTAACATAGTATGCTACCTGATTTGACAGTGAGTTACGTAGTATGATACAAGATATGGCAGTAAGGGACATGGTATGATACATGATATGACAGTGTGTGACGTGATATGTTACAAAATATGACAGTGATTGGCATGGTATGTTACAATAAATGACAGTGAGTGACATGGTATGTCATATGATATGACAGACTGTGACATGGTATGATACATGATATGACAGTGAGTGGCATGGTATGTTACAAGATATCGACAGTTAGTTGAATGGAATGATATAAGATATGACAGTGAGTGACACGGTTTGTTACAAGATGTGACATTGAGTGACATATGTTACAAGATCAGACAGTAAGGGACATTGTATGTTACAAGATATGACAGTCTGTGACATAGTATGATACATGATATGACAGTGTGTGACATGGTATGTTACAAAATAAGGACCCACAGTCCTGTGCTCACACAGTTTGGAACCTTCAAGGGAATGTATATCCTGTCTTTCAAACAAAACTATTGATTTGGATTTGTAGTCTCCAACTTTGAGAAACTTAGATAGCACAGTTGTGTGACCTAGTTTGATGACCTTTGACCTTGAAAATTTTAAATTATTCAGAGCTCAATAAGGTCTTTCGTGATTAAGCTGACCAAAATTTACATCCAAAAATCAATTTGAAAAATCAACCTTTTTGACCTTTCAAAGGTCACTGTACTGAAGGTCAAGTAAAGGTCAAATCCTAAAACTAATGTCAAATTTGAACTCCTGGCAACTTGAAGATGATTTTCAAAAAAAATTTGGTCAAGTGAAGCAAGTTGAAAAGTAACTTATTTTTACTGTTTTTTGACGTCAAATATCTCAAAAACAGTAAAAATTTGATGTCGCATAATATGACAGTCTTTGACATGGTATGATATGTGATATGACAGTGAGTGATGTGGTATGTTACAAGATATGACAGTGAGTGACATGGTATGTTACAAGATATGACAGTTAGTGGAATGGAATGATATAAGATATGACATTGAGTGACACGCTATGTTACAAGATATGACATTGAGTGACATATGTTACAAGATCAGATAGTAAGTGACATTGTATGTTACACGATATGACAGTCTGTGACATGGTATGATACATGATATGACAGTGAGTGACATGGTATGATACAAGATATGACAATGAGTGGCATGATATGTCACATTATATGACAGTTTGTGACATGGAATGATACATGATATGACATTAATAACCCAGATGCGAGTAGAAATTATCTTGATTTACGTCATTAAAAATTCAAAATTCAGTCAAAGTCATATTTGAAATCTACATGTTAAATTACATCTAGAAATGTGGTTTTAAAAAGTTTTTATCAACTTTGAAAAATTAATTTTCTTTGAAAATGTGACTTCTAGCTCGGGGAGATTCCTCATAGACCCCATGCTATAAAATCACAAAAAATGAAATATCTTTTCTTTTAGTGGACAGATAATATTTTGCTTTACCGGACATATTTTCATTAGTATAAGTATTAGGCACATAAGGGTTATATGAAAATTGAGCCACTTAAATTGAGAATATTCAAGTTTAAGGAAACTTTCTTATATACCTGCCATGTTAATTGACCCGAATCAGCCACCTGGTGGTAAAACTGGTAACTACCTACTCGCATTTGGGTAATTGTTACAAGATATGTCAGTGAGTAACATGGTATGTTACAAGATATGACAGTGAGTGACATGGTACGATACAAAATATGACATTGAGTGACATGGAATGTAACAAGATATGACAGTGAGTGACATGGTATAAAACAAAACATAACATTGAGTGGCAGGGTGTGTTACAAGATATGACAATGATTGGCATGGATTGTTACAAGGTATGACAGTAAGTGACACAATATGTTTCAAGTTGTGACAATGAGTTACATGGTATGTTACGATATATGACAGTGAGTGACATGGTATGTTACAAGATATGACAGGGAGTGACATGGTTTGACACATGATATGACAGTCAGTGATATGGTATGATACAAGATATGACATTGAGTGACAAATACACTATCAGTCCTAAACTGATAAGCTGAATTGACTGATTTGGCTTGAAATCTGTAGCCTAGACAAGATTTATTGAAAGACTGCCCAACCGCCTATGCATTGACCAGCAAACTGATCACAATTTAGCACCCAAGTGTCTGATAATAAAAATCAATCAAAGTTTAGGGCCCTTACCTCTGTCTGTTGTTTGAAAAATAAATCAGTCTGACTCTCTGTGATAAAGTCGTGTGTTGAAAAATTGGATTATACATTCTTACTGCACCATCCCACTTTTTCCATCCTTGCTCATCCTGAAGCAGATAATACAAATTGCATCAGTATATGTCTAATAATAATTAACAAGCAGAGCAGAGCAGGCCTGTAGCCAGGGGGTGGGAGCGGGGGGGGCAGGGAGGGGCAGCTCCACTCCAGGACAGAAATTCTTTTATAAAATCATGTAGTTTTTCACTATTCTGAGCACTTTTCGCAAGACTTTTTGCCAAAACTGTCAAAAAGCTCCCCCCCGCCTAGGCAAAAAGTCCCCTTTGGTAAAACCACTCCCCCCAGGTAAATCCTGGCTACGGGCCAGCAGGGCATACAATGATCATTAATGGGCAATCATATGCATGCATGATTGGTAATTGTCTCAGTCACATGTTATAAAGTTTATACTATTATCAAGTTACAACCCTTACAATTTATACAAGTCAAACTATACCAACATGAAATCAAGCCCATGTTATATACACGAGAACTTGCTTCTTGTTTCACATCGAGACATCTGGTCTCAGTTTCCAGGAACGAAGTCATGACTTCATGATAAAACATTCAATGATTATCGGCTGGTCCGGAAAATATTTGTGAAAATGCATTTCATATGATGTATTTTTATCGTTTGTGCAAATACATGTGAAGAAGAATGTCAAATAAAGCTGAAATGATGTGTTTAAAATGGGATCCTGTATCAATTTATTACCCAGATGTATAAAAAATCTGTACCCAGAAGTTGAGCTTGATGTAGAATATTGTTGTCACTCTGAACTATCGCGTCTATTGGACCATAGGCGTTGCCAGGGGAGCATAATCAAACCCATAACCAATTAAAATAGAATCATGAGATAAAAGAAGAAAGTTTAAAATGCTTTTTATGATTTTCTAGCTCAAGTTGCATCAATTTTGCAATATTCTTAGAAACAAATTGGCTTGCTTTATGCCACGATCGCACCCCCCCCCCCCTGTCTGAAAACTGGCTAAGCCCCTGATATACTAGTAATCACCCTCCCCAGGGGTCAGGGATAATCAAGTTACCTGCAAACGTACAAGGCATGCCATTGAACATGAAGATTTCTGAAAGTAGCAATAGTACTGTTGTAGTCGTCTAGACACTGGTTATTCTTCTTATCTTTCAATCTCTTTTATCTTTGATCACAGCAAGTCTCTCAGGCTGATACTTCATCCTTAGGCTCTGTCTATAAGAAAAATGGACTAAAGGTCAAAACAGAACTCTTTTATAACAATTCAAAAAGATTAAAAAATCCTCATGCTTTTTCAATTTCCTGTTTGGGGGGGGGGGCAGAGGGGGGGTGCCCAGAGTCACGTTCTAAAAAAATTTGAAGCCCATTTATAGATAATTTTGCCTAAAAGGCCCAGAAGTCCAAGTTTCGCCAAACAAAAGTCCAGTCTTGGTACCCTGCGTGCAGAGTCTCTACACTCTGCCTAGTAGAGACCATATTACAGTTTAGTAGCCCCGCCCCCACGACGGGTACCGGTGACAGTTTGGGTAATAATATAAATCACTTCTGACCTATGCACTGACCTTTCTTCCACCATTCAGCGAGCCTGAACAAACATACGCCAAATGCGTTCTTATTAAATATGCGCATGTCATTGGTCAATTCCGGGCTCAACGATGACGTCAGAAGGAATGACCATATGTAGAACGTCGGTCAAATTTGGCCGACGAACACTGATTGGCGCGGTGAGTTCACAGGTTTATTTTAGTTTGAAAGAGTGAAGACGAAGCTCTCTTTTAAGAAGTGAAGTCAAACGAATGCAAAGGGTAAGTGGAGGCCCAGCAAAATTTGTTGGCCAAATATATTTTGGGGCCCTAAAAACGTTTCTGGGCCCACTCAAGGGGGGGGGGCATCGACTAGCCCCCTGGAACCGCACTTTCACAGTTCTCGAATGTGAACTTACCAAAACCTGGCTTAGAATTGGATCACTGAAGAACTTGAATATTTCTCTGACTCCCAAAACTAAAGTATGTATCACAAGAAAGTCTAGACAATAGGCTACTTAGTCGTCTAGACACTGCCGTCTGCCTAACATTCCTATCTTTGCATCAATCTCTAGATCATATTCGCAGACATTCTGGCGGCCGTGAGAGATCTCGGCATGTCAAACTTGAAGTGGTATATTTAGAACGAATTAAAATTTAAGGCTCGCTTTTTAACAGATCAACTACAATAAATTATTTTTTGATAATTATATAAAATCATATCTGATACTCAGAGACTCTATTAGGAGGTTTATTCACCATTTTAGTTTTTCTCTCTCTTGTTTTCGAAAGATTATGTTACACATATAGTTTGACTTCTAGTGACTACCCCATAGCTACAAAAATGAGTCGGGGCAATCTGCGCGAGATTCGGTTTTAACTTGGTTCGGTTTTTCATTAAAGGAAGTACTTCATTCCCATGATTCAAGGTGCTTTTCTGCCATCGGATCCGTTTAAGTTTGTACAACACACGTCTACAAATCCGGGGCTATTGATATTATGTCATTACATTTGTTTTGGGTGTATACTTTTTGTTTTGACACTGAACAAAAATATTCCCGCTCTATATGCTGCATCATGGGTAGGGACTGCTGTGAAATAATGAACGTAAGTAACATCTATCTCAAATTAAATGTTCTTATTAGTTATCGATTGCGCATGCGCGATAAAAATTTGAACCAATTACATTGCTGGATTTGATGCGCATGCGCTAAAAACCGAACCAAAAAATGGAATCTCGCGCAGATTGCCTCTAGTGACAAAAATTCAACACGTTTGGGATAACTCCACAGATGGCGCTAGTGAAAAGGTAGAAGACAAAAAATCTAAATTTAAAATCGGGATGATGGTTGATTGAAATCAAGATTTATCAGTGCAATCACTAGTGAAAATGTACATATTTTATATTTTATTTTGTTTATCTTGTGTGTATATAATCTTACAAAAAGTATGACGAAATGATTCGGTTCACTTCAAATATTTGACTTTTTGTGACGGTGGTCTTGAGTTTGAAATCTATTGAAAATTGTTTAAAATTCGGATAGATGGCGGAAAAAGCGGTCATATCTTTTTTGTCTCATGGGTTATCTATGCAAATTCTTTTTTGATTTGAAAGGGCACATATGGAGCTATCCCGTGGTATATGGGGTTATGTACCGAAAATCCTCGTTTTTTCATAATCAATCCAAAGATTTCAATATTTTCCCATTGGATTACATTAGAGCATTTATCTGTGGAATTGTCCCGTTTGTGAAAAATACTTCTTCAACATTTTACAATTTAAAACTGTAAACTACCCACTCAATGGGAAGAAGCACTACCTTAGACATGATAGGAGCTGCAGTATCAGTCGTACGACGACGACTAAACTTCCAAGGTAGGCTAGTTAATTTCTTTGCTGTTTTTGATTTTTTGCCAATTTTGAACTGCAATTTGGGACTTTTCTTGAACTTGTGGATGTCTCAAATACAGGCCTGTCAACCTGGGAGCACCTAAATAAGTAACTTACAAATGTTGAACATCTTCCTTCAAATTGTGAACACCTGGTCCAAATCTAAACACCTTGGTCCTAGTGTTGTCGCGATTAAAGCGGCTCTACAAGTCTGTGGAGAGAAAAATGGAGAAATTTTACCTTTTCTGAGCTATCGGGGCGAAGTTTGGCCTAACATCTTATTCCTTATTCCTATTTTATAAAAATGAATGCATATGGCAATATTCATCAACCAGTAGAACTGGCAAATCATTTAGAATCTACAATTCCATACAAGGAGTCCCACTCATAGATTTTTTCAAATTCTTTCCAAGTCGAAGTCGAAACACCTAGCCGGTGAAATTGAAACTAATTTTTCTGGCCGCTCGAATCGATAAAATCTCTGACAGTGTGAGTTTTTTTATGAAAACTTTCTTATAGAAAACACTTGACGATTATAAAAAAGCATTAAAAGTTGAAACTGAAGCGTTATTTGAAATAAAAGTGAAAAAAAATTGCGCGGACGACAGAGAACAAACTTCTGGTTTAATAAAAAATGGCGGACACGAAAGGAGAAAGGAAGACAAAAAATTGGAGGATTTTCCTTTGCCATTATCGATCGACATAAGGTATGTGCACAAATTCTAGTTGCATACATGGAAAATAGATACATTTTTTAAGGCAACAATATATTTAAAGCTTTCATTTTACGATAGGCCCAGGATCATTGGATACGACTCGGCAGTCGATAATCCCACTTTAATCGATACACCGCAATGTACATGTACATCGCCAAAGCTGATTCTGGCGATGCATCGATGTCTGAAACAAAACATCCATGTTTTTAAAAAAAATTAATTTGCTAAAAATCACCCTTTCTTATCTTATTTTGACGCAAATCGTTTACCTTTCTCATGTCTTATTTCATTTTCCAATGTTTTCTGATATTCTTTCGCTTTAAAACTGTTTTAGCTAGTCAAAATGAACTATTTATCTAAAAAAAATTACTTTACTTTCATTTCACCGTTACTAGAAGTTCCCGGATGTACCAGCGTATTCTTATTAATTACAGTTCTGTTCGGTATTTTAGTGCATTAGCATTCAGGATTTCAGTGCACTTTTCTCTGACTTTTTCTCGATGTACATCGTGATGTGCATCGATGTTTACTAACTGAAAATTGCCAATGCATCGATGTACGATAAATCACATCGTGACAACACTACTTGGTCCAAATTTCGACGGGGAAGACAAAAAATTTAAAGCAAATGCATGACATGCAATTTGCATAAAAATTCTGAATGAAATGTGTAGGATTTTTTCAGCACTCCTCTTTTGATGTTTTGCCTTTCATTTCAAGTTGGATGTTCTTCTCTTGAACCATTGATCACGTTTGCTCCTGTAATTATTCACTTCTTCACCTCTTTAAATTGTGATTCAAATTGGTTGATCAAATTTTTGGACTTTGACCTCAAATTCGAATATAAATATTTTTTTAGAAAAATACTGACTCATTATTATATTTTTAAAAGTCTTTCAAATAAAGTGAAATGAAGCCAAAATCAGCTCA